GTGATGGCGTCCACCATGGAGCGCCCTCTGCGGAAGCTGAACTGGCCGTCTGACAGGTCCGGCCCAATGTCCGTCAAGTGCGCGACGAGGCGGTTCGAAATTATTCTTTCGAAGACTTTTCCCACCTCGTCGAGCAGCACTATGGGCCGGTAAGCGGACGGAGAGTCCGCAGGGCGCCCCGTCTTCCGCACGAGGACCAGTTTGCCGCTTTCCAAAGCAGCGGGAACTGGTCTCTCTCCAAGCATGCGCTGTAGAGACCGATTTATCGACGCCCGAGAACCTCTGAGGCCAGGGGGGCTAAAAAGGTAACATTGTACGTTTCATATCTGAATCATAATATGTGACAAATGTCATGTCATAAAAAGACAACATTTTGATGATTCATAATATGAACTGAAAGTGTTTCATATTTGCAGTTCATCTAATATGACACTTTTCAATGGAAATTCGTAAAATGGTTTGCAAAGAGTGAATTCCTATACGTCAAATAATCAGATTTGTCAGATGTTACTCAAAGGCAACATTTCACAGTTCATCTAGTTTATATTATTAATAAATTAATGAAATATAGGAGATTTAGGCCTTTCTGAAAACTTTTTGGAGCATGCACGTGTTTTAGAAAGGTTTTCATATCGTCGGCGAAGTGAGACTCTCCAGGAAATGCAAGTTTTTTTTGAAATACCGGAGCCTGAATATGTTGGATTATTTCGCGTAAATAATAGTGTGTGTCACAAAATAATCCCAAGAGTTGGAAGTGTATTATAGCCTCTCGACGTGGTGGAATAAGTACTGTGTGCAAGATAAGTAGCCACCAAACTATTAATTAGTTATACAACTAAGTTGCAATTATCCCTTAAGATTTTTTCAAGAAAGAATAGACATGTACATCTCATGTATTTATTTATGTTTAAGGTATTAAGTGCACTAATACTTAACGCTTCTGGATCGTATATTACTAATAGGCATGATTGAAGTTGTATCTTCATATACCTTGGGTTATTTCATTGTCAGTATGTCTTTTCAACAAGTTTTACACTAAAATTATAAAATAAAACTCTAAATTGTGATCCTGTACATATAGTAAATATTAATGATTAAAATTGTGTTTCAGGATACGCCTATACAGAGTGCAAGAACTAATACTAATTCTCTAGTACGAAACGGACTTATAAATAAATAAACTTTAGTCAGCACGTGTCTGACGATTTAAAAATTTTGTTGTTTTTATTTGCCTTAGTTTTTTAGGTCTATAGCCATAGTACAACCTTTTGTAATGTGAAGAGAGAGAGAGGAGAGATATTTCAACTGATAGAGATATCATTCACAGCAATAAAATAAAGTCACTAATTTTAAAACATTTATTTCATAACCACTAACTAAAAGTAACCGAGGAAAGTGCAAACTATTGTTTTTTTCTTCTCCTCTTATAATATCTTCTGATAAATCAATCTGATTTCGTAGCGGGATCCAAGACAGTTAATTATGTCCCTGACACGCGCCGGACTTCAGTGTTCTGGTGTCATCTACTGTAGATCCTGGCTTACAGGAGTCGCAGCAGTTTGGGAAGGTTGTGGCAGGCTTGTCCAAAAAAACAGGTATCTGAAAATGAAACATGATGAATGAAATTAAATTTTTCTAAGTTGCATATTTTACCTTACTTATCATATTAAAGCTACTATCATTGCCTGGTTTATGGTAAGCTACAATAAAACAACATGTCATTGTTTCAGTTAACACAAATACATGCAAATGCACTTGTCCTGCTATAGTGTATCTTGCGATGAACCAATACTTCAGCATCGCCAGCAAGATTTGAGTACTTCGATACACCTTTCCACAGTATTCCGAGGCCGACAATGTTTTTGGGCGTAGTGCCGTTGTTGAGTGTCTGGCTCGGTATTAATGACTAGTATTAAGTACACAAATAAGCTAGTAACAAATAATTATATTTACCTTTTAACGTGTATTATTTCTTAATAGATAAAATCCATAGCGTTCAATCTTCGCCTTGGTAAGGGAGGAGCCCTTTTCTGTATCAATTTACTTCTCGAATTCCATTCACATCTCGAACTCTATTTACTGTTACTTACTTCCCAATGAAATAATGTCTAAGTTAAAGAGTTTAATATTTTTTTACAAATTTGTTTGTTTAAATGAAGTTTAAATTTACTGTTATTCTGACAGTGACTGACTGACGTGACGTATGAGCACGAGTCATTGCCAGCAAAAAGGAAATAAGAAAAACAAAATCAAATACTGTATGTAGTTTTCACACTGTATTTTAATGGATTTTCTAGTTTCTTGATAGATATGAGAAAATATTATAATTAAAAAACATTCAGGATCGAAATTTTTAATTTAAGTTATAATAAAGCACAAGATAAACAAAACCGGTAAAGTTACGGTTCGGTTTTTCTCTATATATTTCTTATGTAGCAACATCGGCATCTAATATGATTCAGTTATGAAATGAATTGAAGGTGTTTCATATTTTATTGTTACCATTTTATGGTGATTTAGGTGATTCTCTAACAATTCATCAAATCTGTCATATTAGAAATGATTCACCCAATGTTACCTTTTTAGGCCCCCAGGACCCATGCTTTGCCATGCATGCCTTCGGGTCCAGGGGCGATGTTCTTGGCACCCATCCGGCGCACCGCCGCTCTCAGTTCTGCCTCGGTCACCTCAGGGACGATGTCATCGTCGTCGTCGCCGATATAGCCCGCGTCGGGCACCGCAGGAGGCGGAGTCATATACGGAGGGGTGAAGCCCCTCCACAGTCGGAAGAACAGGGCGCCAATCACCCCCTCCAGGACCTCTGGCCGGAGACTCTGAGTGAGCGGGGGAGCCCAAGCGCGGAGCTTATCGCGTACCATCCGGTACGGGCGTTCCCATGGGTCTCCATTCAGAGTCTCCAGCATCTCTTGGCGGGCCTCCTCTTTGACCCGCAATATATCCGTCTTTTGCCACCCTATATCCCTCATACAACTTCGCCTCTCTCGCCTCCGTGTTCGGAGGACGAATACGGCGCCTGAGGTGCCTAGTGTAACAACTGGTAGGTATACGGCATCGAAGACGCGCGTTGCCTGCTCGTATTAAAAACGTCTTGTGCTATGAGCCTAACAAAGCATGTCAGTTTGAAAAAGTTTTTACTAACGCACGAGAAAGAAAACTATATACTATTATAGCCTAGCTATAGATTCTGACGCGTCAATAATATAGAATGTCAATTTCAATTACTTGGCTGACAATGTGAAAATTCGTTGTTGATGATTTATTATGAATAATTCAATTGTTCCTGAGCCCCACGCCGCTAAAATGATTTATTTATTAAATAAGCAATATCGCAGCACAATATGTTGTGCGTAAGACAAGAAATAGGTACCTCCACAATATTGTATGGTGATAACTATTGGAATTGTATACAACGTGAAATTGTGGAAGATAAGTATAGAAAATGCGGGCTTATGAACATAATCCAACATATAGACATATGTGGCTCATATAAAACGACTTACAGAGAGCAGTATCGAACAAAATCAGGCTTTAATAAAGACGAAGTTTTAGTGACTTCAATCTCCAGAGCACCGAGATCACCGAGCCACACGCGCCTTACACCGAACGCATCACTGAAACAAGTAGACTCCAAAATAAGTAGGTTTTCAATTGTGACAAAAGTTTCTGGTCTTTATCCTGGACACGACATTTTATCGAAACGTACGAAAAAATATAAACTTGTTGGGAAGAAATCATCTTATTAACTGTGCCTTAATAAAAATTATATAAAACTGTCGTCATCTAATAAGTTAATATAAAAATATACCTAATCATTGATGTTAGTTTGATTAATGTAGGTTCTAACATTATCTTTGCATAGTACCTATTTTAATTTGATACCTACTTATTAATATCCACCATCATCATTAATACCTAGGCTCTACCTATCCCACTACTGATAAAAAGCCTCGGGACTCTTCTTACATGTAGATGGAATGAGGAGTAACCTCTATGCTTGCTCAAGGCGGATTATCTATTTTAAACGGAGATTCTCACATATTCTTTACGAATTTTTTACCTAGGTATATTTTCATTCAGTCTGTCAATTTTGTCTTAGTAATCTTAGAAAGTACCTACCTATTTACTTATTTGTCTCGGAAAGTTTTCATTTCCACCTAATGCCTGATTGATTATTTCCAATCAAAGCGGAGAGATGTGGGCAGAGTGAAGGACTGCAACTCTCAAGTTTAGTGTACCCGAATGAACATTTCTTACCGGACCTTGGTGGAAACCGGGCCTTATGCTTGAGAAGCTGGCGACTTTATTATTGGGTCACCAATGACTAATTAATCGTAGGTTTTAATAATAGTAGTATAATAAAAGTCTGACTCATCAATAGCCTCCGAGTCTCACCGACATAGTCCACCGTCAGACTATAGGCCTCAACTACTTTACTTACGTACTGTATCGACATAAGAAGAGTTTCCACCTCAGCGGATTGGATGGAGATAGCAGTTTTAAAATGCTTGAGATCATCTAGGTACCTAACTTATTGATCGAGTTACTGCAGTTGCGCCTGCTGAGCAAGGGGTTCTGGTTTCCATTCTTACTAGATTTAGAGCCGATTTTTCCAACGCCAGATACATTTTAACTGAAGAATAACTTTGAACTAAGAACTATCAACTGTCAATTTTATTCTACATTTAACTATGAATTAACTGATGATTGAAAAATGGACCCTCTGGTCGTAAATAGGATTCAAACCCGCACCCTCAGGCATGAGAACCGGGGCAACCTCGACATGCAAGCTACGCCAAAAACAAGATTAGATGTGATGTAAAACTATTTAATACCTACTTACTTTCTCGAAAAAGGTATATGATGTAGTATATGAATCACTGCGTTAGCGCTGGGGTACCTACAAGGTAGCAATAATTATATTTAAGTATCTATTAAGTTGATACCTAAGGACGACACAGGATTGAAATAACACTCAAAGATATTTTCGTCTATCATTTTATTAGTTATTGGAAATACTTTTCCGAATCACAATAATTAGGTATGTAACTACAATAAGTGTCATTAGCACTGCTATCGAATGGATAACGGCTAAACACAGATACGTAGCTTATCTTGAGCCAGGCCCATTAATACAATTTGTTAAACAAACAAAATGTATTATTTAGACACGATTTAATTGATCAATAAGCATGGGATTTAGGTACTCAAATTCTGTTATTACGTCATAAGTGTGTATAGCTACAATGTATCGGTTCTGGTAGATACGGCAATACCTTTGTGGTATCTGCACTACTTTTATCTAAATACCACGTCACGAAATAACGGATAAGTATAAAGGAGAGACAAGATTTGTAAGACTTAAAAGCAACTGCAGTTGTATGCCGTTTAGAAACTTTTCGGGTGCATATGTGTTACATCACCACGCTATACCTCAATTACATGACTCTTCGATATAGGTAACTATAAGAAACAGGTTTGTCTGGGGCCTGGCTCTACTCAGTTTCCAGCATTTGCGAATTCCTTTTAGTCCACTCTTGGCCCCTCGGCCCCCCCTAATTTAAGTTTCCACTCGGCCCCTAATTATGATGTATTCTCGTCCCTTGAGGGCCGAGAGTGTTTTTTATTATCAGTAAAATTTAAGTTTCCTCTCGACCCTCAAAGTAGGTACAGTCGCAAAGATTACAATCCGTCTACCTTATAGTTCCAAAATACCCTCTGTATAATTTGTATGTGATTGTACATTGTAAAGACTATGTTTCAAGTTACCTATTCATAATATACAAATTCCTGACTAAACAAATCTGAAATTACCTTCGTATGTTTTCATTCACAAAATCTTCCCATTTAAATAAAATACTCCTGCCCATTACAAAAAAGAAATAAAGAAAATCCTGGTGACTTTTAAAAATTTTGTTTTAAAGTGTACTGCACCAAAACGTATTTTTCCCGCTAAGGGTCGAAAGTGGACTAGGTTTGCCTGTCTTTTGTATGAAAATCCACTCTCACCCCCCAGGGTCCAGTTTGAACTGTATTTAGGAGTCGAGTTGACACCAATGAGCAAACCTTTTTTAGGTGCCGAGGGCCGAGAGTGGACTAAACGGAGACTTCTACCTGCCTACCTACATACGTTGACACAATCAAAGCTCAGTCTCACAATTTCATATTTACTTCAGTTTAAATGGTCTTTCAATTTGTTAGTAGTTACTAAAATTCTGCACTACACAGTAAAGCCACTTAGTGTTGTTGGCATTTTTAGGAGATTGCTTTATTATTTTCAGTGTATACAATTTTTTTTGTGGCTAAATTGCGAATATTCAATATGAAAGCAACTGTAGAAGTAGCTACTAGTTAGTCACCACATTCGTTAGACACATTTATAACAATAATGAGTTTAAAAGACATTGGTATTTGCTGTGAAGTTTCCGCCATTGGATTCGCTTTATCTACAATAACAGCGTTAGTAGGTAGGTCCTTACGGATAGCACTCTGCTAGTGCATGAATCGTTGCACAAGAGATATACAATTATGTAGGCTAAGCTTAGTTCTTATTTTTACGAAGCACCTTAATATATAATTTATAGAAATGTTGGTAATATATAAATAAATATAGATTTAGACAAAATAATTCCAATATCTTATAAACAGCTAATTGTACTTTTAATTACATAATTAGAATATATAGAATGAATTACTTTGACATACAGGGTGGAAGAAACAAATTTTAACACAGAATCTATAACATTCGTATCATATTCACCTACCCATGGTATCAAGATTTTATTTATTATTGGTAATTTAATCATCATTTACCTATGAATATGGCACCTATGTATAAGAGCGGCAGCAACAAACCTACCTTCTAATCAAATATATAAAATGTACTCGATATAAAAAAGCTTGCTACGAGTCTTTTGTCACTAATTGACGATTCCACACCTATGCAAGCAATTACTTCATTTGTAATTATGTATATAGAATATTATTATTTAGACTTTATAGGTTATCTCATAAAAATATATTATTAGTTCTCATAAATATTTTTCTACTTTATTGGCTGTGAAAATATATTCTATAAATATATTTAAACATATGAAATCTGTGTCGTTTTTTCTACCCTGTATGATAATTGGTAATGTGGGTTTCAAGTTATAAATCCTATAAAATATGTCTCGTCAGAATTTGCTTTAATATATTATTTACTATGTCTTTCTAAAATTGCATCCAACTATGATAAATCAAACACGTGTATCGTATTAAATACATCATAATTCATAATAAATAAAAGTGCATACTTAAAAACAAAACAATTCATAAGTAACATAAACAAAGATTTAACATTGGGAAGAGATAGAAGCACTTATATCGCTCAATGAGAACGAATATTTATTATAAATACTAAATTTACTATTAATTATTATACACCTGGAACTTACAATAATCGTCTACAGCACATAATATACAGATACAAATATCATTATTACTGATAATTTGAAGTAATTTACAAAGTATTGATATGTACAGTATTTTCAAAACTTTTTATAATCATTCCATCTATAATAAATAAACATGTAATAAATATAAAACAAAATTAAGCGTAATACACAATATATAATATTAACTCAATTCATACAAATATACATCAGTAAACTCTAAGAGAACGACACGATAAATTAATTAAAAGTTGTCCAGCCTTTGGGAACACTAGAGTTGGAATCTTGTCGACCGCTCGAACCTTCGGAATAGTCTAATAAACCAAATTGGCTAAAATCTAGTCCATATTCGTGTAAGAGAGCACTGTCTGTGGATTTGATTTGTTCGACTTTTTGATTTTTATCACGACACTTGAGTGGATCGAAATCTTCTAGGTTTGTCGGCGAATCATCCAGTTTAATGAGATCAGAATCAGAGCCACACGACTGAAAAAGAAATATGTGAGTTAAACAAGCACGAAGCGATACACTTTCCTTGATAGGCCTCGTATGCCAAGTGTCATCACCGTAACAAATACAAAAATATTATCGGTAGCTAGATAATGGCTCATTTACATCAGATGTACTTTATGTACGAAGTTTGTAAAAGAATTTTAGTGAAAAATGTGTTAATTTGTGGCATGCATATATAAGCAAAGTGTAATATCACGAATTCAATTATCAAACGTTTGGAACTAAATGTCTACAACAAACAATATATCCATATCATGCAATAAGAGATACTAAATGCAAAGTTCACAGTGCTGTTCAAAATTAAATAATGTAAATCAACCATAATTATTTTTACTTGCATAAATTAAATTGTAACTGTAGGTATTTGTGATTTGCCATTGGACATAATAACAAAATTGTCTTTATTGATTGACTTAAAATTTCAATTGAAAATTATTTTTCATAAAAACACCCGATGAAATCAATGCCCACCATTTTAAATCATATATTAGATTGGATGTGCTGACGCAAGAGTTAATGTGTAAACGGTTTTATTTACCTAGTTTATTATTCTTCAACCGTTAGTTACTTATATCTGGGTAATCTCAAAATATATTTATTTTTAATAGTACTTAGTACATTTCTGTTGAAATCTGGTTTTAGAGACGTTGAGCGTAACGCTGGTGTAAGTATTGTATTAGTAAAAACCATTAAGTTACTTACATAATACATATGTCCTGGCTCAATATTTGTCTAATGCATTACAGTGTACAGTACAATAAAAGTGCGTAAGCGCTCGACGGCTCATTATTACTTCCAAGGTTGCATTTCATGTACGCAACCTCATTACAGTCAATTAATACATTACGTATAGAGTGTAACTACTTCTATTAAATAAAAATCCAATATTTATGCATACTTAAATATATTTAGTAACATGCATTTGCAAGTTCTATGTAAGCATGATCTTGCTAGAGGACGACAAACAGTGTATTATATACAAGTGCTCGTGTCATTATAAAATAATAATTTATATGTAAGTGTATACCTAAGTACAGTATTAAGTGACGCACATTATTGAGCATCCCACTGGTTTTATTGCATTCTTGTGAATTTCTAATATATTATATGGAATACTACGACCCGCTTACGTTCTATTCGAAGTAGGTTGATTTGCATAGCATATGTCTACTTATATGTTAAGTGTGTTTACCAGCCGCGAATGTCCATAGGAACTTTCAAGTCCAAATTCATAGAAACCACTAAACCGATTTTAATGAAACTTGGTACTCGTAGTCAATATAATTTCAGGTCCCAAAAAGTAAGGTAAAAAATGTTGAAAATATGTTTTTTGAAAACTTAAAATTATCGCTCTCTCTAATCTTATTATATATTTATTGAAAGCCTCGATGCAGAAAGAGAGGAACAAACGTATTTTTTTATTATTTAATACTAAGGCACTTTTGGTTGACTTATTTACTTTTTCAAGGAAATTTATCTTTTTACGTCGGAGTTTTTTTTAAAGGTTCTTAATCTAAAATGCTTTAACTAACGTTTTAAACGTTGATATTTGGTCCTTGCGTATGAGTACCACGTTTCATTAAATTCGGTTGAGTAGTTTCCCTGCATTTGCACGTCAAAGTTATTATGAAAGCCCGTGTCGTGTAAACGCCCTTATGCTGTCGTGAACATCGAGGTGGGACAAGAAATCGGATGCATATAAAAATGGTCTTACACGTAATATAACTGGAGGTATTTAATATTTTAGTCAAATCCATAATCTTCAAAGTACACATTTTTACTGTTAATTTGTTATTATACTATGTATATGGAACATACTAGGATATTAATTCATAATCTTCAATGTACTGATTCCAGTCAATATAACATTGACTAATTACAAAACACTTAGATAATAGATACTTCCAGTATTCCAGTATAAGACGACTTACAAAATATTTTTATAGATGATATGTATTAGAGAACATACTAGTTACTTAGACTAAGTGAAACTTATTGTATAATGAAACAAGTGGTCACTTTTGACAGTATCTTCTGTACCAATTTTGGTTTTAAAACAGTTAAGGTAATAATTCTCAGACCGACAGAAATATGACTCTTAGATAACATTAAATGAGTTTTACTTTAGGATTTCACTGGTATTGTTTGCTTCAGTTTTCGTCCCATCTACATATTAAAATAATTAAAATTTCTACGATTACTTTTATTAGGTACCTATGTAATGCAAATCATCCTTTTCCTAATAACTTTAATTGTTTTTTCAGCATTTGTAAACTAAACTTACATAAAACGAGCTAGCATCACAATATGAGATCATAACGATTTATCCTTATTAACCATAATTATTATGATCGGAATATCAGTAAGAAAATAATTATGCAAACCATAGGAACACTTACGTGGGCCACATATAAAATAATATAGTATAAAGCACTACATTTCAACCTTAATAAAATTTTAGCAAAATAATAACCCATTTAAGGTAGCCTTAAACGGATTATTTTAAATTATAGAAGTCGGTATGTCAATAACAAAATATAACTATGCAATAATTTACAATAATCATAATCAATTCTATAAAAGTAACATAATTTGCAATAGAACTAGAGGAGGGGACAGATTCTATTTCATCACCCATAATAACATAAATAGCGAGTCATTCAATAGATTGCTTATAAGCATTATAAAGTACAAAGCAAAAGAGAAGGTATAAAAGGATCTTTAAAATAAAACTATTATTAAATAAATTTTGAATCACAGACCACAACTGGGAATAATCTATGTTTGTGCTTGGCACACTTTCAAAAAATGATAACTTTTGACGATAATATTGTAATAAAGTGAATAGGTACTTTATAATATTAATACATACTCTATATGCTATCGAACATTAATTTAGATACATTTCATACAGAAACGAATAACTATAATAGCATATCAAGACCATTAGTGGAAGTTAATATTTCGCACGATATGATAAACATCTACATCATAAACGTGTACATTGTTACACCCTCCACATAATGAACATTGGACGTCATAAAGCCTGCTTTAGATATAAACAATTAGGTACACCTAAACTACTGCTATGTTCTATGTATAACGACACCTTTTCACCGTGCTCCAAATTAAAAGCAAGTAAACTGCAGAAGTATCGTATTACTATAATTAAAGGGTCGTTATGTATTAGATAAATATTATTTGTAATCATGAACAATATAATATCCAAAATTAATGGTTAGGTAAGTATATTGTATTACTGTAAACCTCGGCATGTTAGTGCAAACATAATTTCACTCTTGCAGTTCAAGGCATGAATTCTATAATTTTCTGCTTTACAATCATATATAAAATCGATATGATTACAAATGTGCATATCAGAATTACCTCTTGAATTTTTCCTTTGTACGAAGGTAGTTCGGCGTTGGGTCCCACGACGAGCCTGGGCCTTACGCCCTCTTGGCTCGGTCTACCTACAGAGGGTACCGTAAGTTTCGGCGCTGTGCCGTTACATGGCGATTGAGAGGTCGGCAGTGACACCTTCCTTTGATTCGTTGATAGGGTCAACTTTAATTTTGCTTTATCATTGCCTTCAGTGAAGCGTATCGTGCTGGTGTGAAAGTCTGGTGTAGTATTCACATCATTTTTTGTGATGTTACTGACAAAGTGTAGATTTTGGAGCGTCGAAGTAGGTGTCGCACGCGGCGGCGGCATGGGCGCATCAGATAAATCAATTAGTTTCCTCGTGGAAATTATTGGGTAACGGACTGGGAGTTGGGGACGTTCCGGTAACCGGGGTGGGAGACATGGTGACAGTGTTTTCTGCAAAATAAAATTAAATGATGTGCCACGGTGCTCCTAGGAGCGTTCATGCTGATATCGCATTCACATGGTACTAAACACAATAATGTGGACAGTACAAAAAAGTAAGCACAGTTTTGGTGTATGAAAGCCTATTACAGTAATAAAAAAAGCATAACATTTCAATGAAAGACCATAGATGAGATACCTTTTAAATACAAATGTAAGTAAAGCTATATTATGGACAAAGAACTAAATTACCATTTACATACAATAATTTCTAAAGAGTATAAACTATAAAACAATAACTTTTAAATGGTATCCAATTCTATGACAGCTATTAATGAAAAAAATGTAATCACACCTCCGATACGACCCCAAAATAATTTGATTTCAATGCGACCTCGCTTGCCTCTTTCGACTGAGAAAACAAGATTGTCATATATTCTAACGATGTAACTCAATTTAAATGGCTCAGATGAGATGCTTGACTGGTAGCAATAATATCCATTAATCTAATAACTTGCATGAGAATACAAAACGGTAGAGGAACGGCATACGAAATTAATATATGCAAAGTGCCGTATCGAAAGTGATTCTACACTAACTATATGACGCACTAATGAAAGAACACAAGCGTCTAACAAGAAGCTACGAGGACGACATCTACAGTCTGAATTAAAATTTGCAACCGTTTCTGACTTACTGCTTTATCTGGAAGACTGATGTCGGAGTTGTGCGAACTGTTAGGGAAGCTGTCACGTCGTTGTGTTTTTTTACTGTCGAACAGGAACTCCATCTCGGTGAGCAGATCGAGAGGCAATGCGGGCGGAGGCTCACGAGGTGGCAGTGGTCGGCTTATCGGAAGTTTATTCGAAGGCGATGAATCCGACGAATCCGACGACACCGGCGTTGCTGACCCACACGAAAATCTGCATATAAAGATAAAGATGGTAGCAACACCCAGATGGGTACGATAAAATTATATAAATAATGCGTATTTTCACTTTCAGAGCCCCCAACTCCAACACCTGGCACACCAATTCCCTGCACACACTTAACTACAGTAAGTCATCTCTGGTAAAAAAAATTAGTTCAATATGAATTACCTGCTATCATCGGTGGTGTTTATTGAAGACGGGCGCGACCCAGTCTTAGGCATTTTATTCTTCAGACCTTTTACTGCAGATTTCATATTCTTTCCTCCTTGACGGACCTTTACGGATCAAAACATATTAATTTTAAACCATTGAAGAAATTAATTGCGACCGTTATCTTTAATAGCCGGATCATAACATTGTGAACCATAATTGATAGAATTAATTATAATAAAGAATTAGGCAACGTTATGTTCCGGCGACTAATATGTTCGACCTACGACCGCAGGTTAAATGGATATTTCTGAAAAAAAAAAAAATAAATATGTGCGCGGTCGAGCAGCATGCAATCCTTTCCTGTGTGAATTCTAATATAAGACTAATTTAAAAATCATTCCTAAGATTCAAGCAAAGTACATTCTAGTATTTTTATGTTTCATGGTTTATCAGCCGCCGCGACCCTGTGTCATTTATTGTATCGAAATTTATACTATGTTTTTTAAAGTTTAATTAACGCCTCTGGTGTTCCATGGCCGACGCCGATTGCTTACCATCAGGTGATCCGTCTGCTTGTTTACCGGCTTATGTATGCCATAAAAAATAAGGGTATTTTTGAAGACGAAAATTAATTTCAGACTTTCTTGTTCGCCATATTATCTTATATAAAGCGGAAGAGTTTGTTTTTTTGTCTGTTTGTTTGAACGCGCTAATCTCCGTAACTGCAAGTCTGATTTGAATAATTCTTTTTGTGTTGGATAGCGCATTTATCAAGGATGGCTATAGGCTATAAAACATCACGCTACGACCAATAGGAGCTGAGCAGAGCGTGTGGAACCGCGCGGAAGTAGCTAGTCACTAAATATTTGTAGCAATATCGAAGCTAACACTGACAATAATTTTGTTAATGGTGTTTTTGTAGTATACCACAATTTCTTACTTATTGAGAATACAGTTACAAATGTATTAGTATGTGACAAGAGTTGTGGTTTTCAGCAAGTGTACGTATTTAGATACATTCATTTTGGCTTTTAATAGACATAATAACTTTTCAATTCGTGCAATATATACCATTACCTAATATTTAACCTAGTACCTAAGTAAATACCGAACAATCATCGCAAAACTAGAGGCGCTAGTGTAGCTAAAGGTATATTGATGAATAGAATATTTAACAATGTAAAGTCATGAACAGTCAACCTGTGACGGCTAAACCAATAGGGTTAATGGGATCTTGCGCATATTTACCGCCATCTCGTAAGCGCAAAGCAAAAACCCTAGTAGCGTGCAAATAAATACGGATTTGTCCTATAGCCAATAAATACTGGGACCCAGTGCAGAGTAATATAACTACTTACAATTTGGAATAACAACTGGTATTCGTAACTTCGTGGAGTATATACTTTATTGAATTAAAATATAGCGGCATCTACGTTGTGAGCTATGCTATTTTATATACTAAATATAATATACATTACATTCACTTAATTTAATTATATAATTACATCAAAATATCTTACACAGTAACAATTTGTTTGATACATCATTAGTAAACTAAATTCAACTTACGGTACAGAAAAATAGCATTGATATAATAGTAAAACAAAGTAATTAATGATTTGAAAGTCATAATCGTTGAGTTAACACCTCATTAAAATTCTACCTGCTGAGTATTTCTTTGAGTCTTTTCCTGCGAAGCCCTGGCCAATACACAGTGCATAATTTTAGCACCATCTTGGTAACAAAACAAACAACAGACATTAAATTGCAGCAATATTATAATACAGACATATTTAATATACCTATAGATATCACTTCACATAAAAGAAACAGTAAAGTATAACAATAAAATAATAAAATTAATAAATATACATTTATAATATTACAGGATAGTAATAATTGAACTAATTACACGAGCAAAACTAAACACAGACGTAATACCATCACCAAAGTACTACAAACGAGCAGTTAGAGTATAAAGTATTCTCCACCAAGTTATGTATAACAGTGTCACAACAATAAGGTCGTTGTGAGAACAACAGAGTTCACTAGGACTCACCGTTTTGACCGCCGATTGCACAGCTGGGTTCGCCTGCAAATATTCATAATTTAAAGCAAAAAAAGGAAACCTCCATTTACTTACAGCGTTACAGCATGCATGCGAGTATTAAGAGTTGAAAGCCAAGTATGTTCAGAAGGTAAGTGCTTTAAATTAACACTATTTTTAAATGTATCTGAAACAATGTGTAGTAATTACATAGAGAACTGTGCATAGTTTGTATTATCCTCCAAGAGACCACATGTCTAGCGCTGCGGTGCACTAGGGCATCCGGACCGATTCCCTGATTCCTAGGGAATAGGTACAAAGGTGCTAAAACCCCCAGCCAGATATTAATATAAGGTCCGTGGTATTGTATGTCTGATTTGAATTTTTTATAATAACTATCGTGAGACATACTAAATTAACTGAATACTGCGGGTTACTCACGTGAATATACTAAGAAAAGCTCTACCAGTTTCGAACCACAGGGGGGTTCTTCATGTAAGTAAGTAAGTAACCCGCAGTTTTTAGTTAATTTGAAGTTGTTAAAATTTTGGTTAGCATAATAAATGACAAGTCGATACAGGCTTTTGAGCAATTTTTTGAGGGTTTTGTGTTCTTGCAATGTCTATACTGACTGTGCATTACAATTTAGTGTCGATTTTTATATAATTTCGGTGAGAAATGGTTGTAAAGATTTTTTATTATACAGTAATTCTACGGGATTATACAAACTACACATGTCCTTTATGAAATAACTATTGTTTCAGAAGATACTTACAAACAGTGAAAACAGAAAATCATAAAAATATTTATTTTTTTGTTTGTCTATTTTTCATTATGTATAAAATCATGCATAGGTACCTGTTATTTGCATGGTTACTGAAATGTCAATTTAAGATTTAACATTTATTGAAATAATCGTAAGTGACTGTGCTGTTTATGCGCTGAATATAATTAAATATGATATATTACTGATCAACTCATTTTAGTACCTACTCAAAAAATAATTATTGCTTCCAAAATAGTTGTATTTTATTAGATTTTTTTAAATTACATACTAACAATATCTTTACAAAGATAAGGTGTTGTATCATAATTATCGATATAGATTTTCAAAGAATCCTTTTAATTTAAATCTCTTAATAAAATTTTAGTTTTAAACTAGACATAATATAGTAAATATGAATATAAATGCGAATATCTTAAATAATGTACGAAGATATAAGTTTATATGATGCATATAACTGTATTCGTCATCGGGTTTTCCAAAAAATATAAAGTTGTATCAATACAAGCACAGTGGGTACTCATATTAGGTATACAGCACGTTGCTCATATGCGTATTTTTAGCATTGTCGGAATGATGTGTTTGTAGCAAACAGTATTACAATTTCTCACATCCATATACTATTAAGCAAAGTTTGAAATGACGATTAGCAAACATTCAACATTTAATCAATATTCAACATTTAGTGAATATTCTAGATTTAGTGAATATTCTACATTTAATGAATATTCTACATTTTGTGAATATTCAACATTTTGTCAACATTCAACATTTAGTCAAAATTTAACAACACTACTTTTCCGTTTTGTTTATTAAAAGAAAGGCAGCAGCACATTTAAAAAAAAATTATGTTGAAAACGAAACATTCGTATTATAGTCATTGGATGTAAATTGTAGTAATCTTTACTATATAACAAATAATTACGAATACACTTATATGCATAGTATAAACATACATCTTCTTAAATAAATTATGATATTCGTATTTTGAATAATGTACAAGTAACTTTAAAAGTTTTATGTCTATATTGTGTCGACTTAACCTTCTGAAAGCACCGATATGAGACACAATAAAAATGTCTCACGTGGATCCACGTCTTAGTCATACGACAGGTTAAGCTACGTAGGCTGTGGTTATATCAAAACCTCGCTAGCACACATCGATTTACCTTAACAGATAGTTAATTGGGTTCAGGTCATTGTATTTCAATATTATAACTGAATATAAAACTTCTGACCGCCATTTCATGAAGATTATATAAAATTTCTTAAAAGCGGTGAACCATAACTATAACATGATAGCTATAAAATGTATAAACTCACAGCATGAATATGGATTTAGTGGCACGTAGCAAATAAATACTCATCCCCAAACATAAAAAGCAGTAAAAACTTCTATTTACACAGCAGACATTTAACATTACATTAATATAAACTTTACCTTGTCTTTTACTGTCTTGAAAAAGGCACCGCCTTCCTTCTTGACTGTTTTGGCCCAATCTCTGTATTGCTGTTTCAATTTCTGCCCGCTCCCTGTATTTAGCTTATCTGCATAATTGTTGCATTCCACTTCAAACTCGTCATTGAAACCACGCCCTGAATTCAGCAGATCCAGTCTTTCGTCAATAAACTGAAATAACAATAATAATATTATGTTATTATAGCCCTAATATTAAAATAAGTCATGAGATGTATTTAATATTTTATTATTTCTATTGTAACTAATTTGCCTTGTTAAAGTCGTTCATCTTGTTATAACAAAAGGCGCTATTTTATTTTTCTCACCTGACGGAATATTTGTGATTGTAATATTTTTGTAAGGAATGGTTGCATGTTCTTTCTGGTTCTGATGAAAGCCTCAGGATTGAAGGTAATCAGCTGACCATTTTCAATTCTGAAACATAGGTAATATTCGCTTGTTACTTATGCTTGATATTAGTTCCGAAATACATCAGTGCGAGAACTTACTTTATAGCATCACGGTATCCACCTATTAATGACACTAGGGCACGTAAAAATGCTCGAGACACGGCATCACCCAATGCATTCTTATCACTTAAAGCCTTCTTTAAGCTCGCCACCTGAGAATTAAAAAGTAATCCTTTACATTTTATAAATGTGTTCATTGTTTATACAATAATTTAAGGTCTATTAACAGGAGAATGTAATACCTATACAAATCATCCGCGACGATCTATTAATTTATTGCCGGGGTAGCTAACTCTAACGACGAATTTATTATCCTACCTTTTTTAATATTTTACTGTCAAATATCTTCTGCATTAAATAGGTATGTATTAAATCATTATTTGTTGTAAGGTGGTGTAATCTACACCTCGAATATCATCTGTATAGAGAAGAACGAGCAAGAAACTCCATAGGTTACTCTTTTTTAATGAAGTTCAGAACGAACATGATACGTACACCAGTACCGCTCAACTTAACCATATTGTAAGGAATCGAGCGTTCCAATGCACATGCCACCGCCAATCAGACCCCCGATTGAGTGTAACAACTCCGAGCTGACACAAATTCATTCTACTAGTCTAAGTAATGCCATAAGTATGGAAAACTAAGTGGAAAGTACCTACACCTCTCATTTGAAGAAAAACATAATGAAATATGTCTCTATGGCAATAGGGTAGACGACTAATTTTTATTTTTATGTCCGTCTGGTAAATTATTTTAAATCATTAGACACGTATTTTTTATTTTCTTACAGAAACGAATACTTTCGACGATATATTGATTTGAAATGTCGCGTGACGTCACTTCTCAGTACATTTTATACTAAGAAATGACGTTTTAGCCCCCACTCCTAAACTTTGATTCGTTTTATCTAATTATTGTTTTATTATACGACAAAAGAAAAAAATACGTGTCTAATATTTTTTAATTACCTAACTTATGGACTAATTATATTTTTAATTTTTATACCCTGTCATCATCCCCATTCTATATTTTAACTAACATTATTCTTCTTTTTTGTTTATTTCTTCAAATTGTTTAATTATTTTCTTGATTATTTTATGTTAAAATCTATTTACTACTGTTATTATTTTCTTGATTATTTCATGTTAAAACCTATTTACTATGTACCTATGTACTTCTTTCTGCAGTTATAATCATTTTACATAATACATGATTGTAACTGCAGAAAGAAGTAAAACAATCATGGTTATCTTACCAGATCAGAGGGAAGTCCATCCAAATCGTTAAATGGTGATTTAAGCTCATTTGCATCTACGTCTAATATAACCACATCGCCTATTTCAGACATCCTTACATTCTGTAACAAGACAATCAAGTTAATAACAATTTGACAGAACCATACCAGATGTATGGTACAGATCATTACTAAAAAATAAAGGTCCAACACTTACCTCCATCACACTCCTAGGAACTCCAATAAGAAATGGCATGGGCGCCAATAAATAATCAACCAGATGTTTTGGCAGAATTGGAATGAATATGTGTTGCCAGGACATTGGAAACAACGTTGCATTTGCTGCTTGCACACAGGCCGATAGCCTGGAAGGCTTTGAGGCTACTATCGCAACTCTGCGCTCATGCAGCAACGCTGCCCATAACCCGGCCATACATTTTGTGTCCATGGCACTGAAGTATTCCGTTAAGTTGCACTGAAATAATAATTAAATGTTGTAAAAAAATCCCTACACAGTTTACTTGTTTATAATCAGATTGATAAAAAACGCAATATTCAATATATTATTACGCTAAAATAGCATGTGGATGATTATCATACTGAGGAAGTCGCTTTAATTAGTTAAACTGAGACAGCTAGGTATTTATGCACACTTACATTTTCTGGAATACTTGGAAGTTTGCTGTCTGGACACTGACAAGTGAAAACGCTGTGGCCAGCATTATAAGTCACTTTAAGTGTATGGCCGGGCATAGGTGGACGTATCCGACATGCTTCCAAGAATGATGCTAATTCACCTCGTTCTGGACTGTTAATCAGGTTCGCTATGCAATTCAGTAACCTGAAAAATAAATTATAACAGTAAACTTTCCAGTGTCACCATATAAAATTCAAACTATTCAGACAAACAACTGGCATTATCGACAAATGAAAAACTAAATCTTCATAAGAGTCATAACCGCAAAGCACAAATATTTTTTGCATTCATAGCCATTTCCTCCTTTACATTTTCTGAACATCAATTTTGTACAATATAGCTGTTTTTGAAAATTTGGAAACACTTTCAATATATAATTTTTGCAAAGCATATACAGCATATTGCGCAAGCTGTACTATAATTTCTCATTTAATTTTGACCTTCAATTTACAACCATAAACCTTGTATGAGATTGAACACATGAAAGTTTATTGTCCTATTGAAACAAGTATCTTACAATATAAATTGTTCTAACAAGTATGTCATTTATACGAGATTCAAAGTCTGACAATTAAAATACAATCGCAATTTCATTCAAACAGATTTTTTATTTTGTTTACTTTTTTAAAATAGTATGTTTAGCACAAGCAAGCGAATTATATGTAAGTAACCAGTCCAAGCTGGCTAGAAACAGGTATTATTTAGTGAATTAACCATTCACTCTTTCATAATTATAATATACCTTTTCTGACAATAACAATCATAAAAAATATTTATCCAACTAACCGTAAATTCGCAAGTGATATAAACAAGGAATACAGGAAATCATTTTTATAAATATGTAATGTATATTATGTATAGTCACGAATTTTAACTTGTCATGACACATTTTGTGTAAGTCGCCATGTACTAGCTATTAATATTATGATTACTACTTACTTGTAAAATATATCATGCCATGGTAGATGTGACAGTAACACAAGTGCTGTGTTAGCTTTAGGATCATATCGACAGAAACAAAATGTATATTTAGAGTCCTCCGAAGTCAGCACAAATGAATAGTGCTGTGCAAATGAACTGGAAATTATAAAATCATAATTATTGTATATTTATATATTTTCAAGTAGAAAGTGTCATAGTGGATAATGTCTCAAATATTATAAGTAAACTTACTTTTCTAGCTGACATGGGAATGTAAATTTTGGAATATTTTTCAACTCTTCTTCATTTTTATATGTTTCTGGATATTTCCTTATGACGTAAGGTTCCCTCAGATGATCACCAGGTGATACTTCACAAAATAATTCGAACAAGAAGCGTACAGTGTCTCTGAAAACATACAAAACCAGAAACATGTTAATAAATGAATTAAATTGAGTACAAGAAATAAACAGAATTTTGTTATTCAAGGATTTGATTTAGAGATTATAAAAAAGACATCAGCTGTTTGTACAATGCACATATAATTATCACGGTTTCATAGCATAATTACAATGCCTGATTAACATCAGTCATTTCAATTGTTTTCAAACTCTGACCTAAAATGAAATATAATAATAGTAAGCATTTAATCTTCTGGTCTAGTTTCGCTGCATTCCAATTTATTTTACAAGCAAAATAATAGTTTATTTCAATATACTTAATAATAATATGACCAATATAGCAGAGTTTACTCGTAAAGTTAAAGACTGCCATAGGCAATTTGAAAATCACAAATGGAACGAAATATACTTGGTATGAAACAAGATTTTTTTATTCTATGTGTGTCTTGGAGTGGTAAATGAAGTAAGATAATATATTTGTTATATTGTTTTCAAAGCGCTAGATGTGATGTTATAGTTTAAGTAGTTACAAAATGTTGTGTTATCATGGTAATCTTTTACACAAAAAATTGCTAAGATGCAGTATTTAATCAAATTGACATAGTGTACAGTTGGGGTAGTGACTGGCTGATGCGCGACGACTATATGTTATTTTTAAATAACAATAAAAATAAATTGATTGATATTTATAAATAAGACACATTTTTACTCAGGATCCTATATATCAGGTGCAACACGATCTAGCACATGTGAGACATGGTCTAGCAGTTACAGTACAGATATAGACAATTATACATAAAGTATAAATGTTACAAGTTAGATAAGCTAAGAAATATAATACTATAGACATTTACATGAAAAATATTTTGGCTAATTACAGATATACCAATTAGAGTAACAGTAATTCAACCTGTATAAGTGAAACAGCCTTCTTAGCCAAGCATGGAATTCAGTTGTGGTTACTATGGGCATAACCGCAAGCCTTATCAACAAATTCAAATCAGTAAAGGTTCTCTTTCACAAATTATTATGTATAAGCTCATGACAAAGTTACTGTGCCACTTTATTGGTGCTAGATTTACACCTGATACTAGAGCTACTCTTAACTTACATCACACTCCAAGTGTTTATACCCAATATGGACATTTAAACAATAACTTACTGAGTTATTCTTTCACACAAGATAATTCATTAATAAATTTCCAATGTTTAACTACTATTGATTGTCTAGAAGTGGTTCAATGGCCATGATGCTAACTTAACATACAAAAACTCAGTCAATATAAAAATAAAATAACTGGACTGTGATAAGACCATTGTAGTTTCCATAATATCATAATTATTATACTATCTATAAACACATAATATGGTGCCTTTATTATCAGTATCGGTCTGATAAACTGAAATATGTATATAGACAAATCTCATGATAGGATTTAGAGGGGAAATCGTATTAGCCCACCTACAATGAGTGCACAAAGTGTAATTTTTACATTAGGTAATATAAGCATACTCACTGATTCACAGTATCTACATCAGAATTGAGTTAAACAGGAAATTATTTTATCAGGATACCATACCAACTGGACGTCTGTCGCGGGGCGTAAATGGTTAAGTGATATAAGGGTAAATAATGCAAACGCAATATGGAGTTAGTAATACAATAGACCGAATTTCAATTTTTGGGGTTATTGAAGGAAGAATGATTACGTTTATGTACACTAAATATATTATAATAGTCATTTTATATTGGAAAAATTAAATAATAATTACCTTACTCTGGAACCCATGTCTCGACGTGGATCATATGAAATTTTGTTTACATCTTCCACAACACACGATCTGAAGTTACTTACTGATAAATTCTAATATCATGAAACATCACCAGCCATAGAAAACTACCTTCGAGTCGAATGAAACATTTTTTAAAGATTTTTACCTCTATTTCCAAACTATTACGAAAGACGGACGATGTTAGTCACTTTCCAGAGATAATAATTTATTGAAATTATTTCGAAGCCAGAGTACGCTGTCTCTTTCTAATTTGAAAGTACTAATAGCGATAGCACATTTGATATGTCAAAGATACATGCGTAGTTTTGACGTGTCTACGGAATACGGAATGTTTTTTGTCGAAGCGACACTCGTCAAACAACGTTCCGTTTCACAAATTCTGTGTAGAATAATTTTTAAATGATAATAATTTGTTTCTTTTATTCTGTTTATTAGTAGAAAATAATGCCGTAGACTTCATCATCGCTTTCCACCAGGCGAGATAGTAGTTAAACATCGGCTCTTCAAAAATATAAAAAAAATACATAAATACCTACCGTTTACCATTATCGTATCTAATTATTTTGTTTGTTCTAACTTCATTATTTTTTTTTTTTTTTTTTATTGGCTGATACAGTGACTGGGCAATTGGCTGCCACGCAACGTATAGTGGGTTCGATTCCCATATGGACCAACTCTGTCTGATCCACAAATTGTTGTTTCAGATCTGGATGTCATGTTATCATCTGTATGTGAAATTGTATGTTGGTAAACGCACCCTCAACACGGGAGATAATTCTAGTGTTTGGACGTCCAGAGAGAATCCCTCTCTGGACGTCCATTCTCAAAGCTCAACTACGGACTATGGACGTTCAGGCCGCCTCACATCGTACTATGGCTGGGGGCAAAACTACGCATTGTAAAGCTGGAGGAAAGAGTAGAATAACTATGGCACCCCCTATCATGCTGAACAGTGGACTTCTGCAACATCAGGGGAGAAAACACCAACCTCAATGCTGTCCATTACCACCTTTTTTTTTTGAGGGGGCATAATCATCCAATGACTTTTCCCGCCCGGGTGAGGCGAGAGGGAGTGTCAGACTCTTACTGACTAAAAACCACCCCGTTCCTACGCCTGTACTTCGAGCCGGAGTCCCGGTAACCCGTTAAGTCTTCCGCGGCTCCGTATCGGCATCAGCTCTATTGGACCCCATCTGTGGTGGTCTGATGGCTACTTGAGGCGCGCGCAGACGCGACGCCCCGTACGCTCGGGCGGCGAGTCGCCCGTGCTCGCCGTCCGCAGGCCCGTGCTTACGGTGACCAGAGATCGTCTCGCGACCCCCGACGCCCAGAGTGTCTCTCGCGACGGCCGGGGGTGCATCACCATCTAGAGACAGCAAAGCCGGCCTTGCTCTTTTTGACCGAGACGCAGATATCGTCTCTATTGGACACATCCTACCTCACCTACCCTCGGTATGGACGGAAACATTCCTTCCTGCCTAGTGCCGGGGTATGCGTGTACGTCTGGAACGATATCAGTTGTCGTCGCCTCTTGAAGGGACCTGTCCATTTTATGGCTGCGTGTAGATAACGACAACCACCCCCGTGTTTATGCGTGTCTATATAGGTCCCACAGAGGTGATAACGAGACTGACCGACTCATGGACCACATCCAGATGGCTGTGGATCAAGATCCATTACCATCTGGATGTAGTATCTGGAGTAGATATCTGCCCTTGCACTAGTGCAGGGGCAGATACCTACTCTCGGCCGAGGTGGTTTTGCTTGGCGATTTCAACGCCCATCACGCCGACTGGCTTTGGTCCTGTAAGACTGACTACGCTGGGAGATCTGTCCACGACTTTGCTCTTACTTGACCTTGGCCTGACACAACTGGTTACCGCGCCCATACTAATCTCAGATGTGGAGGGCCAGAAGCCTTCATTGTTGAACTCTCAGCTGACCTCTCACCGAGACGGCAACAGCGTATACGTTGATGCCCCTTTGGCTTATCAGATCATTACCTTGTCCGGAGCTATGTGTCCTGGACGTGCAAACCACGACTACCAGAAGCACGCGGTCGCCGTGTATGGCACTATAGGTCGGCAGACTGGGATGGGATGCGGTCTTTTTTGCACCCTACCCTCGGAGTTGCTTCTTGCAGGATGATCCCAACGCTGCTGCCGATTCTGTTGCTGATGTGGTGCTCCACGGAATGTAGCTTTTAGTCCCACCTCTCTGGTCCCCGTCGGTGGCAGATATCGGCCTTGTTTTGGTACCAGAAAAGCCTCACGCAAAAAAAAACGAGAGGTCTACTCAGAACGAGAACTAAGCCTGGGCCGATGCGGCGGTGGCATAGAATGTAAATACCAGTGCACTAAAAAACAAGTATAATAGCAATAACTTCCTTCTTCTCGAAAATAATGGAGTCCATTATTAACTACCAGCTCTTGCGTTACAACGTACCTACGTACAATACAATATAAGGTACGTACGTACAATATAAAGGTCGGTCTGCAGGTGATCTTCTAGTTTACCTATCGCACCGGTGGGCACAGGCGACTGAGTCTAAGGAGGAAGCGTTGGCAGTAAGTTTGGACGTGGCGAAGGCCTTTGATCGGGTTTGGTATACCTATAGTGCTTCTTCAGAAGCTTTCTTCCTACGGGCTTCACGAGAAATTATGCGAATGGGTCTTCTGCTTCCGAGCAGACAGAAGCATTAAAGTTGTTGTCGACGGTGAACGCTATGACTCGCTGTCTGACGCAGGCATCTCAAGGCTGCGTATCGCCTACATTGTTCCTTCTGCATATCAATGACATGCTGCAAATCAGCGGCATTCATTGTTATGCGGATGACAGCACAGGCGATGCCTATTACACCGGCCGCGCTAACATTTCTCGAAAAAACGTCATAGAGAGCCAAAACAGACTCGTGTCTGAAATTGAGACCTCTTTATGATTGTGGTGGACCCAATTTGGTCCAGTTTAAGCCCACTAAGACACAGGTTTGCGTGTTTACGCTAAGAAACTGCCGTTGGTCTTCTCTCCACTATTTCAAAGCACCCTCCTATCCGATTCAGCCGCAGTTCAGTTCCGCAGTCATCTAGAGGATAAAGCCAAATTACCATCGAAGAAGTTTGGTACTTATGCTCAATATATCGATGCAGTATTTTATACCGGCCCACCGCCCGCTTCTGTATAAGACGCAGGTTCGTTCGTTTCAGGGAGTCCAGAACAGGCCAGGTTTAAAGTCTTGTGGAGGTCCTAAAAGCGTTTACTTAATTTTTCGATTCTTCAATTATCAATTAATTCGTAAATGTAGAATAAAATTGACATTTGAAAGTTTTAGTATGGAAGATTATTCCTAAGTTAAAAATAATCTGGTGCTTAAAAAAATCGGCCCTTTAATTATTATGTATGTGAAATTATTATTGGAATAATAGATATTTTATATTAATTTCTATTACCCTTCTTGTTGACTTGTGTGTTAATGTTTAACCAGTCGTGTGTCTAAATGTGGATCCACGCGAGACACAGTGTATTATCTATTTTTTTTTTAATAAAAGAATAGCCCCCATTAGGATTTTCTCCTGTGTCGTGGGTGCGTTTACAAACATACAAGTTTACATACACAATGTGTCTGATATACAAGCATTCAAGCGGTTAATCCTTCTACATATCGTAATTACTGTCAGTGGGAAAGGGTAACTTAACTGGGTACCTAAGTACGTAACATTTTTCAAAGGGTATTTTTTTGCGTGTCATCAAGTGAGCTCTGCTCATGATTGAATGTATAACCCCATCTTTATATGTATAACCGCATCTATAACACCCCTTTTTCGTTGGACGGAACGACTCAATATGCACCAATTACTTTCAATAAAAACTACACCTAAATAGTTGATTGGTCAACTAGGTAGACATCTTCGCAATCAGTTCATTGACCTTTGCCAAGAACAAAAGTTACTACTATCACCAAGATGGTGAAAACACCATACTTATTACATATACTAGATTAAACCATAGAGGTTAAATAAAAATGCTCCTACATATGTATAATAAAATTGCCGATATTATAGTGAATATATTTATTTCAATTGTTATTTATAAATATTGTATCCTGCTTATACCTTTAAAACATTCAGTAGTCTTATTTTACTTACTTAACAAAAAAATAAAAGTACCTTTAGGTATATGATCTTAGGAAAATAAATATAGGATTTCTTTCTTTGTACTGAAAGGAAGTACAACGGAGTAAATGACTAATTTTTAATTTTATGTCCATGTGTTTCAAACATTAGACACGTATTTTTTATTTTATTACGGAAACAAATACTCTCTTTGATTATATTGATTTTAAATATCGCGTTACGTCACTTTTAGGTCCGTTTTATATCTACTTAGAAAAAATGACGTAACTGGCTCCCAGTACTAAACTTTTATTCATTGTATAAGGCCCATAGCACACGGCATTCTTATACGAGCAGGTAACGCGTGTCTACGACGCGTATACACACGTTTCACGATTGCTTCGTGTGTTTAGGTTACAAGGTTGCGATCGAATCTAGTACGAAGTGCGTATACGGCATACGGACACGATACGCGCTTCAAACGAGCGTATACGCGCTTCATAGGCGCCTATCATCGGCGCGGCGCCGAAAACGCGCGTATATAAATATGCCGTGTGCTATGGTTCTAAGTACGTTTTTCCAAAATGGCATGTCTAATATTATATTTTATCATTAGCAACCTATTGGTAGGTATTAAGTCTTACCGATTTTTAATTTTCATACCCCGTCGTCAATAAAGTACTTAGAATTAATTAGCTACCGTTTCTTTAATAAAAAATGAGACAAGCATCAAAAGAGTACCTAAATATAAGTACCTACCGATAAATAAGTTCATGCTTCTCAAGTACTCAAGTATGTGCTATACTGATAGCTACTTCTGCACATTATGGTATTGATATCTTATTTATTAAAAGGAAAATAACCCAAGCTCCCACTAAACACCAAGTTAATTACATTATTTATTTATTATAATTATTATACTCTATAAAATAAGAGGCCTGAATCAACGTCCGTAATTTAAAATACCGCTGTAACTTTTTATAAACGACCGAATAAGAACTCACTTCTTACTGGGTCACCCATCCAAGTATATCTATAACAATAAATAGTATCGCATTAAATTATTTATTATAAAAACACATTTCAAAAGATGAATTCATTAATTATTAATGAATATTTTGTTAAGTCATATGTATGGGTTTTGTAAACTGCAATTACATAACATCATCACGCCTTTTATCCCCGAAAACCAGGCAAAGGTGCACACAGAAGTAACACCCACTTTTGACTATTTATGTTATGAGTCCCATGTAATAGGGGGTGAGCCTATTGCCATATCGTGGGTTAAGAACTAGAGAAGCGTAAGGGCAAAATGACAACTTCTCAGGAGAGCCGAAAAACAACAAAAATTTACCAACCGTTATCTTATAACTCTTTTATAGCAAAATCTATAGGAGTTAGATAACTGATTTTTACGAATAATAAAGCTTTATTTATCGGCTACAGAATAGTGTAACTTTTTGGTCAATTAAAAAGTGGTTTCATTTTAATAAAATATAATTTTCAAAAACTGGTTGACATACGTCATTTTGGCTGTTATATAAATTCAATAATGTATAGAATGCAACTGAACTTCCGTTAAAATGGCTTTAAAATAATAACAAAAATCTAATAAAATTAATCATTTGACGTGGATTCCTTTAGAATTTAATCAATAAATAATTCTTGTAACTACGTTTAAAAATCCGTCTTTAACCCCCTCTATTTTTGCAGTCGATTAATATAACTTTAACGTCATCCGAAGTGTCAGTTTTCTAAAAATTGGTTAAGCCAATCGCAAGATACTAGTGCACAAACATACATACATACATACTATATGTACAAGTTAAACTGAGAACCTTCTTTTTTTGAAGTCGGTTAAAAATAATAATTCAAATATAGAATATAGGTCCAATGTAGATGTTATAGTATGTAGTTATTATAAAAATTGTGAAAAGTGGGTGTTACTTCTGTGTGCACCTCTGCCTACCCCTTCGGGGATAAAAGGCGTGATGTTATGTTATGCTATGTTATTACAAACGAAGTTGAGCAGCAACATTCTGCCATTTAGCATGTTATTATTCGTGGTCGACCTGCAAGTGGCTATAAAAATTATGATAAATGTTGAAGAATATCTCCAGATCGACACAGCTCTTGCAAATCTTTGTACCTACTTAACTGCTAATATAGCTACTGGACCACTGTAAGCTTTTAAAATTACTCCTGACGAATTTTTTATTTAATTTCGGTAAAACGCCACATAATATATCAAGGTTAAAAATACATATTTGGGCATTGACTCGCCGAAGTGTCGAACATAGAAGTGATCGGTTTGTCATCTGCTTTTTCTGCCATGTATTTGAACAAAGATGATCCGTCCTCATTAGCACCTTTATTACCAACACCTTCATTCTAGCAATAACATGATAGTTCCCTCTTTTTTTTGTCAAAATCCAGTAAAGTACAGCTATATACAGGCAGCCTTCGTTTATAGAAGATTTTTTTGGAAGATGTTGTAGGAATACGACAAATAGCTTGCATGTTATATTCAGCGGAATAAATTTCATCATCCAGAACAAGTTTCATAGCCTCATGTCTATCTCTTGTCGCTTTTTTATGAAATAGGAAGCAAACAAGCAGACGGATCACCTAATAGTAAGCGATCAGCGCCACCCATGGACATCCGCAATACCAGAGGAGTCACAGGCTTGAACTTTTCCTTGTAAATGAGCTTCTTGTTCACTTTTTTTAGCTTCTTTCTCTTAATCATTCATATTATCATATGCAAACCATTCATCGCACATATTTTTCCGTGGCTTATGTAAGCCAATATTAAAATCTTTTTCTAGAATATCGTGATACATGTTTATTTTACCAGGTTCCACCTCATCTTCCTTGCACTTATGAACATATAGTTCGTACATCTTCTCGACAATAAGGTCTTGGTCAAGGTACTCTTTTTCGGTATCTGTTCTAACATAATGAGCTGGTATGCGCGGCAAAGAGCTAATGTGGTCTTTATCGCACTGTCTAGCACTTTCAGGAATTTCATTGTTTTCATGACTGCACGGTTGGTGCGGTGGTTGGGCAACCGGCTGCCGTGCAACGTGACGCGGGTTTGATTCCCGCACGGAACAACACTCTGTGTGATCCACAAATTGTCGTTTCGGGTCTGGGTGTCATTGTGTATGTGAACTTGTATGTTTGTAAACGCACCCACGACACAGGAGGAAATCCTAATGTGGGGAAAGATTGTGTGAACCGGAACCAGTATCTTAACCTAAACTTTTTAGGGTCAAATTAACGTACAGTAGTATTAGATGCGAAAGTGAATTAGACCAACAGCGATTTATTACGTGCTAAAGAAACGTATATAGCTTTTACGTCATTATTGACATAAAAACTGCATGTATTATTTTAATTATTTAGTGCCGTGAGAGCGTATCCCACCCTTACGTTTTTCTGGCAGGAAGAAAAATGATAGGAACTTGCGAAATAAGGACCCATAAGCAGTAAACGGTACTTTACGTTTATTTAGCACGATACAAACTAAGGCTACATAATTAAACTTTCTGTAAGAATAACGTATGACAATATACGCTATTTGCGCGATTATATTAAAGCCATATTTAGTATCCTATTCGCCCTGTAAATCGAGTTACGATGGTTGTGCTCGTAATTTTATTGACAAAATTATGTCAAGATTATTGTAAGTAGAAACACTTCATTTTGGCAATAAACAAATATCTTTTTTTTCTATACGTTATTGTTGTACTAAGCAATCTACTCACTATATCGTTCCAGTTTTTTGGCACATAAAAATATAAGAATTAAAAAACCGAATGGCGAAAAAAAAATTTTTTTGAATTTTTGCCCTTACGCTACTCTAGTTCTTAACCCACGATATACCGGGCACATTTCCAGACTCCGTGCTACTACTGAGGATTTTTTAAAAATAATGTAGTAATACTTTGCCCGACCCGGGAATCGAACCCGAGACCCCTTGCCCGGCAGTCGCACTTGCGACCACTCGGCCAACGAGGCAGTCAGATTTATTACCAAAATCTGATAACTATTTAGCTTCATTTTAATACTACTTGTATATATATATATAGATATACACACATACATTTTACCACTTACAAAAAATTCGGTAAAGATGGTGAAATATTTAATTATAGTTTAACTATTAAATACACTGATATTTTTTTTAAACTTTTGAGATTTAATTTTATTTCACTGACACAATGGGTAACGAATTTTCTATTGCAATCTATTTAATTATGAATTTATTACCTTAATGAGTACGGGTCATAAGTACGCTACCTAGAGTAACATATATGTCTTGAATGGTTTACCGTCAGAAATCAGACAAGAAAATAATATAACACTGTTTAAACTGTCAAACACCAAGCGGTCACCGGTGACCGCAACCTATTGTTCTATAATTGTGTCTACAAAACCGGTACTCGACGAGTTAAAATTAAGTTGACAAAATACTTCTATAAAAGAACTAATGTAAATCGATTATTTACTAATTTATCGTACATATGTTTTAGTTATAACTTATTCATATAGATTCTAGGATGTAATGAAAGCGCTATGAATATTCTGAAACACAAATATGTAGCTGGAAAAAAACTACCAACGGTCGTTTTCAACAACCGATATTGTATCGGGCAAAGTACCATTGGGTTTTTGAAAGAATTCTCAGTGGTCGCACGGTGTCTGGTATTGTACCTGATATATGGTAATAGGCTGACCTGTTATATGAGACTTGATAACATAAATAGTGAAAAGTGCCGTAAGGTGCACTTCTGCCTATCTGCTTAGTGCATGCGTGCGTGCGGGCGTGATGAAATGTTGATATTACCTGTACCTGTGATATGCCGAATGCACATCTATTATGCAAGACATAATGTGTTTTCTATTGTGTCTTGCGTATATTATATTTCTGCGCGATCTTGATTTTTGAGAGAGTCTGTACTTTTACAGCGTTCAAGGCAACAATCGATCTAACACTTTCAATTTGGTATTGAGATCGGTTATTGAATTCGACAGTTAGTAGACAAAGTTTCAGGTCAAAAGTATGCTTAAAAATATCAGGTCGTTCCCAGATGAGGAGCGATGACATTAGCCTACAAATAAAAAATGAAATAAAGTACCTACGCAATCAAGCATTGAATCGATAACCTATTTTTGTGATAGATACCTTTTATATCGCAATTTAGTTTAGGGTAGTAAGATATTGTAACAATTTGTTCACAGCGGACATTATGATCATCGAATTGAAGCTGATCGCTTTGACAGCTTAAATCTTGCTGCTTAATTTAAAATTTAGTTATATCAGATACATTACCTATGGTTTAAAAATAATACAACACAATTAAATAAGATAAATAAATTACCCTAAAATAATTCAAAATAATAAAAACACAGATTAACAAATTAAGAAAAACATTATTAATAAAATTTAAGGATAAGTAATTACTTAATTGCTGGATTTTCTACGTAAATATTAGTCAAACATGTCTTATATGGTACATCATATTTTATTTGGTCGATGGACGGATCAATGATCTTCAAATTAATCGTCAACAAGTCTTTGTTAACTAAAAACTAAGTCTAAAGTAAATTTCATTTTGAAAATTAGGAGCACAATTTGATATTGGAGATTTTTCGTATCCGTCATTATTTTTGACACAAAGTCAAATTGGACTGACATTTCAGAGGTCACAATTAAAATTGATTTGAGTTTCAGAAGTTATAACTGTTACCGAATACTGTAATGCCACTTAACTTTAACGTCCAAATACTGTAACACCACTCAACTTTAAAGCCGCGCTTAAGAATAGTTCTGTCTCTACAAACTCATTTTAAAATGAAAGAGATGGCACGATATTTAATTATAGGTTAAAATTGAGTAGCCTTTCAGTCAGGCGTAAGTCATATATTGTATTTAATAATCGTGCTATCTTTGTCATTACCTATACAAAAGGTACCAGTAATACTTTTTGAGAGACTGATAAAGTTGAATGGCATTTTAGTATTTAAACCTAATTATGACTTTTGAAACTTAAACTGAGTTGTGACTCGAAGAGTCTCAAGCTATCCAATATAGCAATTTTTTTGAAGATTGCCTACAAGCCAGTTTTAAGTACACACATGTAAGCGGGGTTAAACGGAATATTCTTATAGACTTACTTAAACCGCATTAAATGCAATACTGCTGTTAAACATTGGGATTATCAGTCACATATTTTGATAAATAATTAGAAGAAATAGTAAATAATAGTATTATAAAATTAATATAATTCTTTAACTGTTTCACAGTATTCATTTGTGCAGTTTTTGTCAAATGTAATAATCACAGATTTCACTTAAGATACTAAATATTGTCAGGAAGTTTATATTACAGCTCCTCGAGCACAGCTTAACTTAAATTTTAATAAGTACACATTACCAATTAATCATTATCACATTCTTCCCTCCGACATGTCTTCCAACATGAAAATCATATCATTTACTTGTTCATATCGGATAACGGACGAATAACCTGAAAACAAAATATAACATGCTTTTGTTAACGTTTCACAGATAGGTGCACATTTAGCAGTAATCTCATGGACATCAGTTCACGATGTTAACACGAATAAACATGGTGTGTTAGAACAATCCAAGTAAGTTGTCGGTACGAAATTGTCCTTTTAGTAATGTTAACGGCAAAACGTAGCACACAACAAACACAGACAAGTAATCATGCGACTATGCAATAAAAATAGTCATCGAAATGTATTATTCAAAAAAATGTGGAATGTACTTCCTTCTAAATTCATTGAGAAAATGTGCCATACAGCCCCGAAGAAGCTCCAAAATCGAAGATCACCACTCGCGTCTATTCTAATAGAGCACTAATTATGTCAAAGATAGATGAACTATAAAAGTGACGATACAGACATCTAAAACCACGCCGAGGTAGGCAAAAAGAAACACAGTTAATATAGAATATCAATTATATATTTATAGTTAAGCCATCACAGGATCGTGTTGTAAAAAGTTACAAAAATCTACTACTACAAAATTATAATAACATTGTGGCTACCACATTTCAAAAGACAATCGGAGTAGTTGCATAGTTTAGTAATTACATCCATATTGGTAGTCTTGTTCGGCGGATACACAATTAGAATAAAGGAATGTCTCATTAAACGCATAATAAACAAACAAAACAAAGAATAAGAAAACTGAAGAAACGAAAAATTTATCTAAAATACAAACAAAAGAGGCCTTGAAACAACACAAACGACAGAACTCAAGAACAAAAGTTAGACAAAAGTCTAAATAAACGTTTTGCACCAAGTGTCGAAAAGTAATAAAAACAGAAAGAAAACAAATTGTACACAAATAAATAAGAAACATAAAGACCTTTATAAGGTAAAGAGAAACAATTTGATTTCACAGCGCATAGTATGGCACAAAAAGAAAACGAATTCAATATTTACGTATCTATAATAACAATGTAAAGAATTTAAATTAGGTACATTAAGTCAATATTAATCTCATCGCCTAAGTTAATCTAAATTATATCTTGGTAGCTTATAAAACGAATCCTAAAACATAGGAGTATTCAAGATTTAGTTTTAAAATCAAATAATACACTACTGTAATTGTAAAATATTGTAAAAACAACCATAGCTTTAGTTTTTCAGTGAAAACACAGCCTAAAAGAATATAAATTCACATGTAGGATTATACGTATAAAGCACGCTAAACGCTAATACATTGATAAGAGTTAGTTCAATGATGTATCAACATTTTTTGCCAATAGCACGTTACAAGCCGACGATTAGCTGTTTGTACCTGCTAAAGTAAGGGAGACTATACAGCCATTATTTAATAAAACTTTAACAAAATGAGTACATTCGTATGAGAAATTACATTGGAACATTTTTATTCAACACTAGCTTTTGCCTGCGACTTCGTCCGCGTGGAATAGTGACTTCCGGCAGAAAAGTATAGATAGCTGTGCCCGCGACTCCGTCAGCGTGTAACTCCTTGTGTATTAAGTTAATGAATGGAGTAACTTCTCCCGTTTTCCCAATATTTCCCTTCACTGCTCTGCTCCTATTGATCGTAGCATAATGAAAAGTATACTATAACCTGCCCAAGAGTATATAGAATAATTGTGCCAAATTTCGTTAAAATCCGTCGAGTAGTTTTTGTTTCCATAACGAACATACAGACAGACAGACAGACAGACAGACAAAAATTTTACTGATTGCATTTTTGGCATCAGTAGCGATCCCTAACCACCCCTTGATAGTTATTTTTTAAATATATTTTATGTACAGAATTGTCCTCTCTACAGATTTATTATAATTATTCAACATAATACATAATATTTTTATTGTTGCTTAAAACAACACAGCCTCATACCGGTTAAGCCTCGAAGGAGTATTCAGAGTTTAAAACTTACAACATACCTGTTTAGTTTTTGTAAATTATAATGTAACACTATTATTTTATCAAGAACGAACTTATTGCTAGGTATGTAAACACAAACAACTCAATGTAAATACTTGAGATTTTCAAACAAAAACGCTTTGATATGTAACTTATGTAAAAACGAATCGAGCATCGTGACATATCTATAGTGTTAATACATCAATGAATATCTATGTTATCAAACAATTTTAAGGAACATTATCGAGGCATTTTTCAAATCACCAGTGTGATCAACGCGGAATGTAAACTAACACTAAACAATTGTCACCTCGTATTTATAAAAATATTCGATTAGTTTTAACATAATTCTACCCCTCACCATAATAATTGGCATATTTCCTTTTGTAAATAACTAAGGCAAAAATAAATTAAGTACTTTGACGAGTATAAAATGTATACCTAATCTACACATTTTTGATATAAAAATGTAATCTAGATTTGCTATCGAAATATGTATACGGTAAAAAATGGATACATAAGAGATAATTAAAAAATGAAACTTGTTCATTTTATTTAGTACTTAATCAAGTCTTTAAAAAAAGACAAATAGTGTATTAAATCTTAAATATTACTGTTCTGCATTTTTGTCATTACCTGAAGGCACTCTAGCATGGCCAATTTTATCCTTTAGAATAAAGAACGCCAGCCAGTTCAATGCACAGCATATTAAGGCTCCAATGCCAAAAGAACGGAAAGTAATCCATCCTCCATAAGTCCCGTACAGTTGACCTCCTATAAAACTACCCAAAGATGTACCAACGCCTTCGAAAACAGCTCCAACCAATCCCTGAAACAAAATATAGTATTGTTTAATTATGGATTTTCCATTTTCAAAGTTTAAAGAAGGCAAGATCGTCATTATAATTCACAGCAAGAGTTCGGAGCATTATTTGATATTTATTTCTGTCGTATTCTATTTTAAAACAATATTGCCCCAAACTTTTGTCTTGTGTCGTGACTACGTTTATATACATACCACACTCAGAATGGGACCACACTATATGAATCACACTACGGATTACGGTTTTAACTCGTCGAGTACCGGTTTTGCAGACACAATTATAGAACAATAGGTTGCGGTCACCGGTGACCGCTTGGTGTTTGACAGTTTAAAAGATCTATCTTATCATAATGAGTCACGACGTTTTGTCGACATTTATTGACAAGTATAAAGTAATTTAAATACTAGGAAACATACCTGGACGGTAGTCTCTGTACCCGGTGGTGAGACTATATTAGCATACGAAGTCATTGTCGGATAGAACATGCCGAAAGTAACGCCTTGTAACATTTCAATAGGCAGTACCCACCAAGGGTTGGTAAGGAACGAGTATAATATGAATCTAACGCCAAACGCCAGGAGAACCAAGCTCATCATGTTTATATGACCAACTTTTTTTAGTACATAACCTGAAATATTAAACGATAACGTTATTGCATTTGGCAATAGTCTCTAGTAGACAACATTCACACATTTCATTACATTAGTTTTGTTATCTGTAATATTGTAATGAGACAAAGATGTAAAATAAGGATATTCTACAGTACTTTTTGTCATCAATGTCATCAGATCTAATGCCGTTAATTTTATTTTTGCCCACAATAACAACAATAAGTACTTACCAGATACAAACAGAAAAGGTATTTCTCCCCCAAATGTCTGTATTGCACTGACTAAGCCTTGCAAGGTTTTTATGTAGCCTGAGCCATCACAGGTGAGGCCTGATATGTCTTCCAGTAACCAAAACAGGAATTGCCACAGCAAACCGGTGCACAAACCAACTGCTATCGTCCACAACAAGAATAAGACTGTAGGTAAAGACGATAACAACGAACCAACATCAGCCAAAATGTTCATTGACATCTTAGTTGAATCAGTCTGAAAAATTAATAAAATATATAAAATACCAATTTCCTTAAGACATTATTCTAACTGGAGTTATTCAGTTGATATTATCAGTCATTACATGACTACATTAAAGTGTGATTAATCTCAATCAGCTCTAAACCCAACGATGTCTTACAAATAACACTTTTTAATTGTTTTTTGTGTGTTGAACGACTTCACATCAAATCACAACTCTCCACTAAGTTCCAAATATCATATTATTTCTCTATAGTTGTCATAAACAGCAAGTAGGCCATTTTGTAGATTAGGTTAGAGTTGTAACTGACTGGCTCGTTGGCCAAGTGGTCACAAGTGCGACTGCCGGGCAAGGGGTCTCGGGTTCGATTCCCGGGTTTTTTTTTAATTCTCAGTATTAGTATTAGCACGTAGTTTGGAATTGTGCCCGGTATATGACAATAGGCTCACCCTCTATTACAAGTGTGTGTTACATTGTACAGTGGCATAATGTACACCTCTCCCTACTCCTTCGGGGATAAAAAGCGTGATGTTTATTTTGTAACTGACCTCCAAAAAACATGAAACTCCAACGTCTCCCATCATGAACACGAACATGAGTATAAATGCAATAGTGTAGTCTTTGTAAGCACCATCACTAAGTGTATCTATGAGAACTCCAGTTAGCAGTGAAAAGATGCCCCATCCGACTGAACCCCATAGTCTTTGTTTTCCATATTGTGATACTTTTGTACCTGAAATGAGGTTATAAATATATTAAATCATGAAAATAGGACCACCAAAAACATTCTGTAAAATACTATCCAAGTCTCGATGAAGCTGCTAGTTTATCTTAAAAAGTAATAAAATATAACAAAGTCGTGGCAAGTCTAAGGTTCCTTATTGCGATTTCGTAATTAATATAGTTAATGTTGTGTGACTTGGCCGTTGAAGGGTACAAAACCAGTTGCTCCATGACCACACCAATCTGTCGCTAGAACAGCTACCCATTGACGATGGAAAATTGACACTTGGAAAACGTGGTATTGCGTGGAAAATGCGGCGAAATGATTCCAGTAAAGGATGGTATGGCAGTGTTTGCTTCGCGCTTGACTTGACGATCTTTCATTTGAAAACTTTGTTTATATTTTAAATGAATCTGAATAAAAGCCAGTTCTATAGTAAGTATGTCTAGGAAATATCTTTTTAACTTACCGAGCAGATTAAAGCAGATGGCATCAGCGAAAGTGACAACAACAGCCTGTCCAATCCAGCTAAGTATCATTAAGAAAAAGAACAGCCAGAATGTTGATGTAAATTCATTTTTGTCGTTTCTGCTATCTGCTGCGCCCTCGATCAACTCATTTACCTGAAATAAGATTTTAATAAGTTTTATATGATTACGTTAGTTTAGTAGATATTAAATTTTCCGTTGCTTGGTTTTCTATAGTACTTTCGCATAATTGTATTCATTAATCACAGTACTGTTGAAACGACTTTATTTAATGTACCTATTATGCTATTTATAATTAACACTGTATTTATATTTGACAAACATTTATAGCCAATTTCGGGCTGCTTCATTGATGCGAGGTGCAAAGAGAAACGATAAATGCTAGAGTGAATATATAAGTGATGTTTGACTACTTATGACATAATTTCCATTAGGTGTACGACTACGATAAAACTCTTGTAACTGTTAAATGGAACTAATTACAAATTACCTTTTTATCGATGAATTAGCAGTTGGATAATTAGGAAGAAGCAGATTTAATAATTTAATATTTTTAAGGTCGACTAAGTGGTAAAATCCGATTAGCATAATCGGATTTTATGGATATTGTATGTATTTGTATGATTATGACTGCTAATAAGTGCGTTTATGCTTTGCTCATGGATGATTACTTTTATTTCCAAAATACGTCACTTATTCAAAATACTATATTGTCATTTGTAAGTAGATAATCAATAGGTTTATAAATAACTTATTCAGCGAATGTGAGTACAGACCAGTTTTAGTACTAAATTATAAATATTTTTTCTTTCTTTCTTTCTTTTTCTAGTATAATGGTGCAAAAATGGTGTAAAACTGTATTAGTACGTAATTAATAAATAAACAACTGTTTCTTTAGGAAAATGGGAGTAGAATAGAATGTTTGTTATGACATGACACATTAAGTTCAATAATATGTTAATTAATTCATTCATTATAACTTGACCGAGAGAAGTTATTAACTAATAATAATTTACTTACTGTCTTTACATAAGGTTCAAATTGATAAAGTATTTTAAACAAACATTTGAAACTAAGGTTCTTACCACAGCATTGTCACAGCGTATATTACAGGAAGAGAGAAACAGATCAGATTTATCTTCGTATTGTCCTTTTAATCCACAGACCGGATAATGTTTTGTAACTGAAAAAGGGCGTATCACAGATGTAAGACGTTTAGCAAAATTTTTAAGTAGGTATTTAACCTTTTTGCATATTATAGGTACTCAACCAATTATAATGAAATTATTTAGGTATGGAAAAGGAAGCTGTGCAGACCAAAACTAGTCTATATAAATAAACAAATTATTCTCTGAAATCTTGAACGACTGCACTAAAATGGATACCTAATCATAACGAGACGAGATGATTGGATGAAGTTTGAACTAGTGAGAAATATTTCTTGCATGATTCGTCTCTAATCGCAATGGGTATCATATTTCTGTCATGTCTTTGTCAAATAACACCTCTTGTATTGGGTAACTATATGTATCTACATTGTACAACGAAAATTAAGTAAAATATCAATATTATCTTACCAACACCGTTTTCAATGGGTAATTCGATCTGATGAAGTCGTATATACACGCATTCATGTTCCTGAATTGTAGAAGACAATAATATTTCTCCGGTGAAGGACAGATTTTTTGGGAATTCTTCACCTTGCCGGGTTTTGGGTTGACAGTAGCTGGTAGTGTCTGCTTTCCACCACTCGCATATCTCCATGAGTCGCCATGGTGTCGTCACGTCAAGATCACACGAGGCCTAGACAATAGATAACCAGAAATTATATTGTAAATACACATTCAATAACTTACTTATGTATTTATTTAGTAATTAAGCGACAAAGAGGAGTTTAATGTCAAAGTAAATAAGAAAGTTAAGATTCAAGTAATATATGTATTTCTGTGATAGCTCAAATCATAGTTTATTGCCTATTAAATACGCAGTTATCTTAATTATTTACCTCACATGTGCTATTCAATGGATCTTTGGTAAGTTCCTTAAGTTGGGTAGTGTCAGTAGGGCACAGTTTGTAATTTATATTTTGGTCTATGCAGGTCATATTAACACGATCCTTTCCTATGGCTGTGGATAGTTTGGTGTTATCACATTTGAAAGAACAGGGCTCGTTAACATCTACGTATACCTCGCCCAGTCGGCATCGAGGACTGTATATGTGTCCTGGAAAACAGAATATTAAATAGTAAAAAGTTAAATATACGTATTATATCCATAATCAGAGCTATATATAATACTGGAGAAATTCGTAGATTGCAAGAGTTTTTATATTCGCATCGCAGTGTTTCATCCGCATAGCAAAATAAACAAGCCAAGAAAAAATTTCGCGAGCTCGTTACAAACAAAGAAATATAAACTATGTGCTGAATATGATTGAAAAATACAAGATTATAAACACATCTAATAAATGTGTCAGAAAATAAATGAATTTTATCTCACCGTCCAAGGTCACATTGCCTGCAGCGATATAGGCACAATTATCGTTCTTCAAAGTAACGTTATTGACTATTGAGGAATATTGTATGTTATTGGTGTTACTGTAGCAGTACTGAGGTATGTGCCAATGCTCGCAAACCGTCTGCCACATTTTAGGCGACGTCATATCACAGTTCATCTGCAAATAGTTACATAATATCAGTAATTTAAAAAAATATGAAAGGAATGTCTATTCACTTTAAAATGTTTCATGTTGTCTGTACCGCCATTGCCGAAAGATTTACAATCACGTGATAGGTAAAACAAAATTCCGTTGATATGGGCAGTAGATGCTACATCGTTGTGGGATTGAATGATTAATACATACAGAACATGTAGTTATATATTCTATTATTATTATATTATAGGTATACAATAAAGTGTAAATAAATGAATTATCTTCAACTGATGGACAAGGGGTTTTAGGTCCTAAATTCTCACGGGAACGAAAAAAAATGGGAATGATAATGTGTGCTATCGCCAAGTGTGTTTCAACGCTAGAGAAGCTAGTTTAAAACTCTGAGAGTAAAATGTGTTATATTATGTCGTAATACTTACTTCACACTTAGACGTAGCATTGAGGCTTAAATTACTCAAGTAATCAACTTTACAATTGTCCACCGCATCTTTACTCTTATAACAGCTTTGTAACATAGTAATACCACCATCACAATCTAATTCAACCGACATGGTTCTGTTTTCTGGTATTAAATATATTGCTCCAAAACTGATAATAGTTATTATTTGAAATAAGATAAATATTAATTTTTGTTTCTTAAATCTGTAAAAAAATAACATTATTTACAATTTGGGCAAAGTGTGATTAGTTTTTTAATTACTTTAGAAGATTTTTCAAAATAAATACTACAGTAGGTAACCAATTACCTTACCATTGAAAATCCTACTAGTTATCTAGACATTTTTCTTAGTGGTAATGACAAATGATGAACCAGTTGCTGATGATTATACAATTTACAAATAATGAGAGTAGGTACCTACGTTAGTAAGTAGTCTCTGTTGCTATGTGAGACGGTCGTCATTTAATCAATCTCTGTTCACAACTTTCCATGACAATAATAAATTGATTCACTGAGTTCAGTGGCCCAAGTATGTTTTATGATGTATTTTATTACGTAAGACAGCCATGCACCTACATTTTATAGTATGTAAAGTTTTCAGTAAGTATGTACTTGCTTCATACATTGTTGTTTATTTAACCTTAACTCTAACTTACATTCGAAATTATCTCGAATACCTAGTAAATCTAAGTGTCTACTTTATAACACGTTTAGTTCACATAGTAGAGATATAATCAAATTATCTACTTCGGTTTAAGATGTCATAATAGTAGAGTAGATTAAGATAAGTAAATTATGTGATAAAAGAGCGCTAAGAAATAAAACCATAATCTTACCTGTCGGCAATAACTCCAAATAGGGGTTTTGCGATAAGACCAAATATGGGCAGTACTGTGTAAATTAATCCTACTGTGGCAGATGAGAACCCCAATTGACGCGCATAAGTTGATAGGTATGGTACAAGTGGTGCAGTACCTGAAAGTAAAACAAATCTTTGCACTACCACAGAATTCTGACATTACAAAATATTGCATATTGCATTAAACTTTTTCAGGACGAGGCAGCTATGCACAATGACGTGCAGGAGAAGGAACGGGATGGTTTTTAGTCAGTAAGAGTCTGACACTCCCTCCCGCCTCACCCAGGCGGGAGCAGTCATTCGATGATTTTCCCCCCTTAAAAAAAAACTATGCACAATATTACCTGTCTGTAGCAGATATTATAGAGACCACGAATTCCATAATTTTGAATAACTAATCGTTTAGAAATAACCTTTTAACACCATCATCATAATTCATGGTAAAATGTCTAGTTTTCATTAGTTAATTAAATTGTCCGTAGTAAATCAGTGAAGCTGGGCGCTTGTTCCAAAGTATAGATTCATATAAACGACAACAAGCAAGAAACCCGAGGCTTACTCTTTTAAAAAGATTAACAAAATATCTGGGGGCATTTGGTTGAATTGAACTAAAAAGATCATCTTTGAATGTATTGCTATGTGTGGTTGTTATCAAAGTTTGTAATTATACCATAATTTCACAGTATACATACACAGTAATAACATTATACTGAATTGTATACCCAATCCATTTGATAATTTATATTACTGATAACAATTTAAAGCTTGATATAAATTATAACTATTTTTATTGGTACATACACAGACTTGACTTAATAACATTTTATCATTTGTATAACGGTATATCAATTACTGTTACATACATACTAAAAATTGAACTGTTTTTAGGCTCTGTATGTATCTAAGTACTTACAACAATGTATATTTTATTTCGCAAGAGTAACTATTAAGACTGACTAATTAATAATGACACAATGGTGTCATTAAAACATGATTAATGTATAGGTTGAACATTACTTAACTACAGAATGCATTTTTTATTTATTTGTTTGCACTTTAATAGGTATGGATATGGTGATAACAAAGTAATTCAACCCTCAAACATACACACAGATGGTATGATTATTATGTGTCACTAAGTAATGTTTTGATAATGGTCTATACTAAAAATACAAGCTTAATCAACCAAATATGTGTTTACGCTTTTAAAGTTAGGTTATATAACAACATAACAATAAAAATACATTGTTACATTCTAGATAAGTTAAAAACGAAATTATAGGGAATTACATTTTTCATACTAGCCAGAAGGTGTTTTGTTTTATTTTCAGTAAATGCATATTGATGTGGCAGGATGTTACAGCAACATCTTTCTTGCAATGCATATTGGCACATAAAATAATAATAGATATGAAAATGCCCGACTTATTCATAAGTCTTTGCTGAAATTAATAAAAATATAATATGTTTTAACTGCTCAAGCTCAGCAGTCACCAGTGACCACTCACTCCATTATAGAATTTATATCTGATGTTTTGAGACAACTTTTGTATGAACAAATTTTTGGTACAAATAGTAGTATTATTAACTACTAGACTTTAAGGAATTGAAAAAAAAAATTGTAACAGACTACTAGCTGTCAGTAATTTCAAACACAGTACTTATATTGCTTAACTCGTAACAATAGTTTAAATTTTATTTAAAACACAAAATGTTTCAAAACAATTTTCACTTACCAGCATTAAAGAAGAAGAAATGACCCTTAATGGGCAATAGTTTTTTATTAATTTGCATCTTTGAAGGCAGCATTTAAAATCTACAAAAAAAATGTTAAGATATTATCAGATACATAGAACTTTGTAAAAAAAACTTAAACTTTAGTTTTTTCTTATTGGACAGAATTTCATAACTTGTTTAAAAAAAAAAGTTGGACTTTGGTGAAGGACTTTACACATCATTTTGTTACAGTAATATTAAATAACTTATATTTATCGGACCCACAAATTTCTAAATTTAAACTAGAAATAAATAGGATAGAATGCACAAACAGACTCTATCCAGTTTGCTGTATTCGTGTTCTATTTTTCATATGAGCTTCTAAGAAATGAACATTAGACCACATGTTCTAATGCTTAGTTATGTAGGTAAGTATGTTTTGTTTCTTAACCATAGCATGTTTATTTAACAAAAAACTTTACTAAACTAAACAAAAAAGAATGACGATTTATAGATATTATATGACAGAAACTTACGTAAATATCGTAACAACTTATTTCTTTTTAAAATTAAAGTTTGGTTGCTGGTTGAATAACTTGTAAACACTGCACTATACCAGGGACGCGGCTTATAAAACTGATAAAGTTATCTATTAAAATGATAACCACTGAGTGAAATCTATCGACCTCGTTTGTGGATTTGCTTGGAAGCAGGCGACCGACCAGCGCCAATAGAAAATTCATCTGATATCATGATTACATTATTTTCCAATAAAAAACACGTGCAGCCAATGAAAACAGAAGAATAATTGACACCTGCCTACCTGACAATGACAATTGACATTGACACTTGACACTTTGTCAGTTGTCACTTCACAAAGTTGCCACTGTAGAAATATATAAACTTGGATAAGTGTGAAATGGTCAACTTATCAATGGTCAACATTATGTTTTTTTTTCGGTAAAACTGAATGAAAACTAAGTAATGAGTTTAGTTTAGTTATTAAGTGACGTAATGTGCACCTCTATATGCTATGCCATAAAATAAACATACACGCACAGCCCTAAACCTCTATAAACCCTTTTTATACTCAAGTTACAGCGAAGTGCTTAAGCCGTAGCTCGCCGTAGAACATAGATGCGCGTAGTCCACTACGCGCACTACTAATAGTGCGTAGTTTGTAGTGTAAAGCAGAATTTCCCATTTATTGTATTAAACTCGTAGGCTTACAAGGTGCAACACGTCAAAATGTGTTGCACCTTGTAAGCCTACGAATTATGTGCATGGTTTACTAACCTATTATGGGACAACGCAGCTATCCGCTACGAACTAAACGCTACGCGTTACGAACTACACGCTACGAGCTACGACTGTAGCTCGTAGCGTGTAGATTTAGATTTAAAGTTGGAGTTGTAGGCCTAGCAATAACTTGGTCCTACATGAAATCTGTTCATATTCCAGGAAACCCTTGTGTTACAGCTGAACGAAGTCATTTCTACTACGCCAGCATAGCTGATGATGGGCTTGATATGTTATGATTTCTGTGATAAATATTTTACGAGTAGTTATAAATATAATCGTTCCGCACTAGGGACATGGTATTTTACATCAGCAAGAGCGGCAGGTCGATATGCAACTGTTCCGCATTGAACGTCGTCAATTAGTGGACTACGCGCTACGAACTATGTTCTACGGCGAGCTACGGTTGGAGCACTTCGCTGTAACTTGAGTATAAAAAGGGTTTATAGAGGTTTAGGGATGTGCGTGTATGTTTATTTGATAACATATAGAGGTGCACATTACGGCACTTAATGCCACTGTACACTGTACAATGTGACACCCACTTTTCTCTATTTATGTTATAAGACCCATGTAATAGGAGTGAGCCTATTGCCATATACCGGGCACAATTTCAGACTCCGTGCTACTACTGAGATTTTTTTTAAAAACCTAGTAGTACTTTTCCCGCTCCGGAAATCAAACCCGAGACCCCTTTCCGCAGTCGCACTTGCGACCACTCGGCCAACGAGACCATCAGGTTTATTTTACCTATTTATTTATTTATTTGTATTATGCAACGAAGGCCTATATAGACATATATATATAGGCCTTATTATACCTATAGGTAATGCTATAATATCTACTACAATTTTAACTTAAAATACTATAAATACGTATGGTTTAGAAACTGGCGTTTTCATAAGTTGCTTACATTGTTGTTTATTATAAAGAGCTATAGAATTATATAGAAGGAAGCAATAAAATCTGTCCAGATTTAGCCGTACCGAAGGTTTTATGCCTATTTAGATGGAGATATAAAGAACTCAAAAGAGTTAATTAGTTAGTATGGTTAGTTAGTATTCATAAATTGACTTAAGGCCGATTTTTCAATCATCATATAAGATTATCATCGTTTATTCCTCAATTAAAATTTATCGTCACCAGATAAAACTGAGGAATAACTTTGAATATTTCATAATTTTTCCATACTCAAAACTGTCAAATGTCAATTTAATTCTTCAGTTAAAGCGATTGAAAAATTTGCTCTAGATTATTGAATATATAAAATATGAGTAGGTACCCATCCGAACTATAACATAACTTTAAAATGTTGGGGCGGAATTTCAATCACTTAACTAATTCTATTTAAATGCATTTCTATAATATGTATAAAAATCAAAACGCAAAATACATTAGCCGGAAATCCCAACGCACGTATAATACTAGCTGTTGCCCGCGACTTCGTCTCCGTAGAAAATGAGTTTTAAATTTAATACTTTTTTTAATTTTCCAAAATAAAAGTAGCTTATGTTATTCCTTAGTACAGCCTGCCAGTGTAATTCCGTCAGTCCAGCTCTTGCAGAGATTAGCCAGTACAAACAGATAGACATACAAAAATTAGTTTGAAAATGTAATTTTGGTGTATATGTATTGTATTGTATTCACATGCATGTAAAAAAGTGGTTATTTCAATATTACAAACAGACAATCCAATTTTATAATTATAAAGAGCAAGTATTTATTTTCTATATGTTGGTAACGCTTTTTACACAAAATCTACTGTTCCGGTTTAAACAATTCTTTCACCAATAGAAAACAGTATCTTTGCTAAACAGTAAAGCTATACTACCTACATTTAGTCGCGGAGAACCTAACGGGTAACCGGGGCTCCGACTCGACGTGCAGGAGAAGGAACGGGGTGGTTTTTAGTCAGTAAGAGTCTGACACTCCCTCCCGCCTCACCCAGGCGGGAGCAGTCATTCGATGATTTTCCCCCCTTAAAAAAATACTACCTACATTTAAAAATAAAAAATTAGGAATCCTTCGTAAACATTATAATGTAACCGAAGGTGAAAATATGATTTAGGTACCACAAAATGTCTTCCATTGCAATATTATATAGGTACTGACTGGTATAGTTACGTCGGCAAAATACGTCACGAAGACGTGGCCTTTGTGCCCAGGTAATACTTTGACCGACCCTAGAATCGAACATGAGACCGCTTATCCGGCAGTCGCACTTGCGCCCATTCGGCCAACGTGGCAGTATCAATTTTTAAGCCAAGCAATAATAATATAATAATAGCTTATGACTATGCTATGCTAGTAATCGTATGGCATTAAAAAAATCTAACAAGACTCGCACAAACTTAATAAAAGTTCCAAGTTTTCGTATTTACTTTTTTGTTCATACATAACATAACATAACATCACGCCTTTTATCCCCGAAGGGGTAGGCAGAGGTGCACATTATGCCACTGTACAATATAACACCCACTTTTCACTATTTATGTCATGAGTCCCATGTAATAGGGGGTGAGCCTATTGCCAATATTGCCATATACCGGGCACAATTCCAGACTCCGTGCTACTACTGAGAATTTTGTAAAAACCCAGTAATACTTTGCCCGACCCGGGGATCGAACCCGAGATCCCTTGCCCGGCAGTCGCACTTGCGACCACTCGACCAACGAGGCAGTCATACACAATGGTTAAAATGCAAAGTACTTACTATTTTAATAGCCTTTGGACTAGAAAGTTACCCCATGCAGTATTTGAGAAATGCTATATTAAATTATCTGAGTTTTATAGTTTTTTTTCTGTCTATTTCGATAAGGGTCAGTTGTCATAATTATTGTTATTTATTGCAGTTACATAAAAATAAACAAATAAAAAGTATTTTTTATTGCATTAGCCGGTAACGAGTAGACGGATCACCTGATGGTAAGCAATCGGCGTCGCCCATGGACACCTGGAACACCGGAGGCGTTACAAGTGCGTTACCGTCCTTTTGGATCGTTGGGGATTAAGGAATTGGGAAGTTGGGGAAGGGGAGGGTAATTGGGCCTCCGGTAACGTCCCTCACACGACGAAACACAACATAAACGTTGCTTCACGTCGGTTTTCTGTCAGGCCGTGGTATCACTCCGGTCGAGCCGGCCCATTCGTGCCGAAGCATGGCTCTCCCACACTTAAGTAATATTAACTACGAGTACGTACAAACTACTATTTTATTTCATGGGTAGACTGTACTGTCCACATTTAAATTAGTAAAGTAAGTAGGTAGTATTTTAGTATTACTCGAAACCAAATGGTCAAAACTAAAACTCAAATGCATTCTTGTTACTACATGGCCACACCTTCCCTCCTCTCTATACAGTGGACTGTCAAGAGCTGTTGATAATGCAAACTTAAATTATTTTACATTTACACAATACGGGGCGAGCAGTCTTAATTTCAATTTTCGCGGTCATACATAAGTGCAAAGTGGTTTTTCAGTTTTCTAACAAAATGTAAATGATAGATAGTAGACGGAAACGTCGCCATTCTATCCCCGTGGCCGTTAATCCTGCGCCTGACCACGCCAATCGTGTCAAATTACTGCCCCATTTGATTAGTTTGCATTCACTGTTATATCATTAACAATGCTAATTGTAATCACTGGACGATGGTGAGTATAATTGGCATCGACTATAATTCCTCACATATGGCTATTGATTACCTATAGCTACACCAATTGCATAATAGGTAATATCGTCACCAGCTGTGGTTGCAAAACTCGGGGCTCACTTCTAGGAAATTCAATCGATACCGAATAAAAGATAGGATCGACACTTGAAATTCGCTCGCTACCCTCCAACGGGTAGTAACCCATAGGTTGGGAAGCTGTTCCTAACTAGATGTCCCACCCACACGCACGAAGCGCTTCGCTTTGAGCTTCCTTGTGCATACTGCTAAAGAGAGAAATTCTTTGCCAAAGTCTGTATTTGCTGAAGGGAGGAACCGGAACCAAGGTCCGAGTGAATAGGTTGTTTATGGGACGGCGTGCTCCATCGTAAACCGCATCATCGCTTACTATCAGGCGAGATAGTGGTCAAACGTCAGCCCCTTAAATATTAAAAAAATTGTTTGGCGCCTTGACAGGGTCGATGGATAACTTTATTACCAGGTACATTCATGAAAACTGCATAATAATGTATCAGTAATTGATACTTCACCTGCGCACAATTACCTATAAATATGCATAGGTACCTAGAAGTACAAAAAGAAAGGGAGGTTGAAAAGTTGAGAAACATGAAAAAATTTCAATTAGCAATAGCAACCACTATTCGCCAGTTCGTCACTATTAGGTATGCATTACATAATTGGGTGTGCATTACTGTGTAAGTTGCATTACATTGGGTACCTACAGTTTCCGATTTAGCATACGCTGCTACGGAAAATCTTCAAAAAGTTAGGAACAAGTCGTGCTACTTTACCTTACCGGGAAATAAACCTGAGTTTAGCAGCAATTGTGGCTACTCGAACAACAGAACAGTACAAGTTCAATTTTATGGTCACGTTATAATTTGCTATCAGACTATAGATCAATATGTTTTGTTTGAAGATCCGAGTGTATCTATTATTAACTAAGAAGAGTAAACAAACAAGTCAAAGTGTACTCGTCTCGAACAGCCAACAAAAGGCCGGAGGCGGGGGCTACGTGATAAATAGAAACCTTTTTTTTAAATATTCTAACGTTCAAAAGAAGAAAATTAAGGAGGTTAGAGACGCGTCTCGCCAAACTTCCAAGTGATTGCTATGCGGCTCCTCCTTCCCGTGCTATTGGCGTTGGGCGGCACAGCTCCGCCAATGAGACCGCGCTTAGCCCCACTCATTGCCATTTCATAATACTAAGATTACGTTTTCCTTGATTTAGAAAAATGCCCATTTTTCAACAATTATGATATAAATATGCACTGACTATTGCGCAACGAGAGACGCCAGGTAATTGTTGAACTATGGAAGAAATTGGACCCAAAAGACACTTTTCCCTCGAGAGTATGTTTTCGATGTTAGAGGTTGGGTAATTAACCACATATTAAGGTGAATTCAAAAGTGTGAAGACGCCTACACAGCGGCGGCAGGCATCGAGCTTTACGTTGATGTGCTCGAAGCGTGAGAGATTCGTTCGTGGAGTATTTGAGTCAGTCCACTGCTAGGCCACGGTGCGCGTCACTCGCATCGCGCTCCGTTATACATCGCTTGCGTCGACCGTCCGACATCCGAAGTCGAATTTGCGCCCGCCCGCCCAGACTGCGCTAATTTTGTAATTTTAAAAAGATACTGCAATAATATTCACAATTATTGTTTAAATTTTTGCCAAGTTGAACAATTGTGTTTCACAACAAACGGACAAGTTAATAAGAAGTGCATAGTAAACTTTTAAATACTTTCTCAAGTGTTTTGACAAGGATGTTAATTTTATAAGGAGATTTTTGGATTTCAAGACGGCTGTGGAGAATTTACTTCGCCCTGAAATAGAAAAAGTGGGTGAGTACAGTATATAAATGTAAAACAATGAAATAAATCTACTTGCCTATCTATAATACATTTGACTTTCCCCATGGGACAAAGATGTTAATTAACTGAATACATTTAATATTTACAATTTGTGTTAACCATTGAATCTGGCAAAAGATGGTTGATTATAACAACTTTCTTAATATAATATTGTACACTACTACATTACCAGCACTATTGTCTAGTAAGTACTTCACTTCCTTCGCCAATTTATAATCCACTAAATCTATACTAAAGTAGATATTAATGGTAAACCAACAAGGTGGTTTAATATTATAAATTTGTGTGCGAAACAAGTAGTTAAAACTTTCTTGAAAACTTCTTGCCATCTTTTTATTTATTCTTGCTTACATGTATTATTATTACTTGTAGCTGATTTATACCTGATTTAGTACAGTTTACTTTTATTTAAATTCACATAATAAGTACTCCAGCTTCGGAGGTGATAATTTGCGACGGCAATATTTAACCGTCTCAAACTGTATCAGTCTGAGTCTGAAAGACAATCACTACCAAATGGAACATAAACGTAACATATAAAGGTTTTCCATGGTTGTATTTATTATCTGGCTTATAGGAGTTGCAGCGGCTTTAAGAGCTTGTCCCAATAAAAAAGTGAAACATGTAGCTTTTGTATGATTAGTATTATTTGTAAATTATACAGCATAACACACCTCCTAAATTCTTGAAGGCTACAATCCTTCTGAAATTTGAAGTGTGCGCATTAATAACTAAAGTAACTAATAAAGCAAAACAAATATTGTGTTATTCATGAGGTAGGTACTTACTGCTTTCAATTTTAAGATTTACTTACAAGTTTATCCATATACATACTCAAACACAAACAGGCCAATTTTCAATGATATAGTTAAAGCTAAACTCTAAGTGCTAGTTCATTGCCTGGTATTAAGTTACTATATTGAAAGTAATTATTTTAAACCGAAATATTATAAAACAAATTCTCTTTCGCGTCGGTCTGTTTGTATGAACGCGATAAAGGCAGAAACTATATACCGGACAGTTTCATACGTTTTCAGTATTCACTAACCGATAGTAGTTATTGCATTTTATTATGGTTAAATGTGAGCAAAAGTAGGGGCAGAAAGCTAGCTACTATTTTATATTATATATTTTATAACAAATATGGGCGAATTAATCGGAAGTGCTTTTATAAGACAATAGTTTAAAGTTAAAGGTAACATACATCTGCTATTAAGGCAATGTAAGTACATGTAGACTATAATAATAGCCATTCCAACAACATTCTGTAATGAAATACTTACCTGCATTGTAGTACATCAATATGTACGCCTGCAACTACTTACTGACATTTTTCAATAGAGAATTAATACATATTATACTGTTATCATATCACCAACACCTCTCTAAACACGGCACGGTTTTTTAATATCTATATTCCTATTGAAAATCGCCATTCATAAAGAGATACATAAAAAAATAAAACACACGCTATTTCGAAGCTTGAAAACTGAAGATGCATTTCAGTTACATACATGTTTTTGATAGATTCTGAGTTGAGGTTAGGTTTATATTAATTTGAAAGATGTGACCTAAATTGTGTCTTAGCACTGTACTGTATGTTGTATACATCCGTTCCATAATTACCTATTACTATAATCCAGTGTTACTGTACTCACAGATTATAGAGCCTATGCAGATAATGTGATTTGATAAAATCTATTTGAAATAAGCATATCACCATTCCCGAAATGAAATAGATAAACTGCTCTGAAACCCTTGTATTTCCTAGTAGAGATCATGAAGATTTTTTTAAATTACTTCTTGTATGAGTACCATAAAACATGCATAAAACATTCTGCACATATGTCAAGAACCTTTTGATAGATACGAATAACTTCTTAAAACTACAAAAAAATTTACTCTCTGTTATGTACCTACCTACTGAATATCCAATTTTGTCTGAAATCTAACATTTTGGGTACTTACTTAAGTATATTTTTATGAACCGTTGTATAATGAAATACCAGTATAGAAAATATTGGAAATATCTACCTAAATTTTGTAGCAGACAACGGCAACAGTGAGTTAGCTTCTGCTTGATATTTTACAATACCGTACAGCAATGTTATAAAACTTTTGTGGATTTAGTGTTCGGATTCGATCTTTTTTTTTCAGTTCTCATGTTCCATTTGCGCACATATCAGATTTTAGATTTGTATAGTCCCAGTTGGTGTATTTTCCAATAGGTAGATATTTTTTAAAATACCAGTTTGTAAATTGATTTTGTCTACAGTGGCCCGGAGTACCGATGGGTCGGGCCTCGATGGAGGCTGCGAAGACGACGTCTCGCGGCTGACTCCAGGCCTGCATCCAGAAACCACCTTCGACATGAACGATCTGCCGTCGAACACCTATACGTTGGACACTCGCAGAATGCAATTATATTCGCATCCACACGTACATCCCACGGTGAGTCAACGCCTTTGTTTCAGGTACCTCCGGTTGACATAGGTGAATCTGACACAAAAGGAACGTCACGTATAGAATTTTCTCGCACTTTATTCTGGCGAGGTAAAAAGTAAAGATGATATAAAAAGTCGTTGTTTACCCTTTACATGATGATCGAAGTAGGCATGCGGAGTAACATTTGTGACGTCTTTTACTGCGCTGCCTTGACGTGTATCAAGTGAACTGGAGACATTAAAAGGTTAAAGGTTCGTTGCTAATCTGTTTCTTTCATGGAAAACATTACGCTTAGCGCCAGGAAACAAAACACATTCAACGTGTCAAATAAAACGGCAAAAAATGTGTTCCCAACTAATATGAATCGTATAAACCGAAGCAAAACAAATCCGTCTTTAAACCATAAAAACGTTGACGGTTATAACAAAAGCACAACGTTGAAAAGATGAAATGCATTGCAAGGCGCGAAAATAAGAATAATTTGAAGGTATACACCGGCTGGGGAGTAAGGTTTCCACTTTGAAAGTGGCCATTCGATTCGCCATCGTTCCTCTACCAGTTCACATGAACAATACTTTTTTATTCATACTTCCAGCCCCTGTAATTTCTATTATGTTAATCATTAAAATTGTAATGATTATGTATTGTATAAATAATAAGTTATAGATAAACTAGGAACTAATTACGATATCCGTAAACCGTAAGCGTGTGAGTACACAGGTTTTCATAAAGTTAAATCGTTTATTATTTCGTAAACAAACAATGAGACACACTTGATTTGTAAATAAATCATGTTCTCTCGTATAATTAATTTATTTTAATAATATAATTACATTCATAATAGTTAGCCGTGATGATGACGTTAAGCAGCCAAGCTCCGCGCTATCGCAACACTGAACTCGTGTTATCAAAGATGTCTTCGTCACCATCCGTTACATCACCGACCTTGTTTGTTTGACTTTTTCTTACAATTTTATCACTGTTTTTAAAGTTAACTGATTTTCTATTTCTATTGATTCTATAGCTGTTAATAACATATAAGTAGCTTATTGATTAAATATAATTTAATGAATACTTTCATTTTTTATTCCGCCAGAATTTTTTTGCTGATAAAATTGGTCATGTTCTTTACTTTTCGGGTCGAGCGTCCTCTTATATTTCTATGAGTTAAACTAATATCCTAACTAGTCAGTGTTTATTTTAACTCTTTTTTCAGAACTTATAAAGTTATAAGTACAATAGAATTTGGTCCGTAGATAAACTTTGGAAACGTTAATTATAGTGGCACAATTTTATGAAAATTAAAGCAATTACGACCGAAGCAGAGTTTTATCAAATAACCCTGACATAAGTTCATCGCGAACCGAACAACAGATTGTCAATAAAATTCAGTAGGTATCATATATTGTATTGTGGCTTATATTAACTGTTTATAAAAATAATATATTATGTATATTACTTACATGTAAGAAAATTCTAAGCTTGGTCTTGTAAAGGCAAATACTTAGTTAATAATAGTAAGATATGTTATTGTTATAAAAACGATTGCCTATATGTTATTACCTAGCGCTTTTATAAGTATCTATAATTGTAGAATCTCATTGCATTTACCAGTTAGATAATAAAGATACTTCTCGTTGCTTATATTTCAGATTTTATAGATTGAGGTTGATTAGATTGCTGATAAGCACTGATGGTTTGTTGCAATGTGGATATTTGAATTCATCTGAGAAACCTAACAAACCACCATTTGAAACTATGGGAGTATAAATGTTGTTACCTAATATTGTGAGGGACATTAAATATTTAATTAGTCAGACCTGTATACGTTAAATTCTACCATGAGCTACAAAAAGTGTATTTACCTACATACCAAAACGCTGAAAATATATAAAAAAGAAATGTCAATCTCTCCCTTCATATATCAGTATTTGCATTTCAAATATTTAATTTCAATGCAGGGTCTCCTAAATAGATTAATTTTAAAAACTGTTCTGTATGTACCTAATATATAGAAAGATTTAAAACATAACTATATTTTTATGCGCGTTGTTTCAAACACTGGTTTTCTGTAAGACTGAAGTCATCCAATCCACCGCCCGATATCGATTTCATTAGAATTATCTCGATCTTTCAGCACGTATTACGTAGATGCAAATGCATTATTTGTATTTACTTCGATTTAGGTGATAGTTTTATGCTTAGCCTATGTTTCAGTATGTGTGTTACATAATTATTAATTATTATCGGTATTCATTTTAGCTCATCGCAGCATTATGATGGTAGGTAATAAGTAAGCCTAATTAACTGTGTAGGTATAGGTAAGTATAATATTTACCGAGCTCATGTATTTTAGTAATATTTTAAGTCTAAAATACTCTGTCAATTATATCAATTATGACGTGAAATTAATTTTGAACATGTTAAATATAAAAGATATAACTAATTATTCATAGAATGTGTAATTCCTGTGATTGCCAGAATTTAAAACATATTTGGTATTCAGCTAAATGCTGGTTGACGATACTCATATCTAATTAAAATATGACTAGTCTACTAAGGTAATTCATATTGTTATTTATAATGCTCAATACAATTGTTAGTAAAATTTGACCAACTATAAAGACAGGCCATCGGAGTAGTTAGGTATAAGCAAGCATGTTTGAAATATAATTTCATGAGCTGTGAAGTGAACATAAATGCTGCACTAGCGCGACGGGCGAGCGATGACGTCGACTCAGCTGCTTCGGCACGCGGCGACTCGAATGACTCCGTTGTAATTCGATCGGACCCTGTGACAAATGTGAAAAGTATTACGTTTTTAAAGTGCGCCCGTGTGCTCTTGCTACCGTCTAAAGTTCTCTCGATACGACCCAATCGTTGCATGTACCAATATTTTTATTTCACACTTGATTTTTAAATGTTTTCGTTTCAATTTGCTCCATTTAAAATCGAATCGAATTTAAATCGAGATCAAGAAAATATATTATTTTGAATGCAGGTCGTTCACTCGAATTATGAATATATACTGTAGTATACTATAGTACTGTAGTATAGGTCTGTAGACCTACTTAACTGTATATTCAGGTAGAGTTCCGACGTTACTCAGGTACTAACTGATTCGCACTGTTGGTAGACGTACCACTAAAATACATGAGGTTAAGTTATGGTGCAGACTAGGAAAAATCGTCCCTTAATACCTAATCTTTTGTTAAGGTAAACAGCACCTACTAAAGAGTACCTAGATATAATTCATAATGTTGCAACTGACCTCAATTAAATAAAGCGTAATAGTAAATACTTGATATCAATGTTATAATAATGACAAAACTGAAGGTCGATCGTCAACTTCTTTGTATGCATTTTGTGAATATTGTGTTGACGCGACGGAAGCTACACCTTGTGAACGTGTTTAAATATCTATATTAAATATTATGTTTGAGGAAATGTAGGTAATACCTACATGATACAAAATGTCTTCTTGCTATGTATGACCCTCATATTTCCCATCTCTTAAAAAAAGTAAATTCAAAATACTCAATACTAAACTACGTGCACTACATTTTGGCTCTGTGAGTTGTTCAGTAACTATATTGTGCAAGGTTATGGTATTATGGTACAATAAATAACATTGTTGACTTTAATCACGTCAATACAACTGTCTGTTGGTGTTAAGTTAATGAAAACTGATACTTGTGTTCATAATGCACTTTTTATGACTATTTGTCATCATAGGGAGTTTCATACATTGCTTTTTTTGTACTAGCGTAACTTAACAACATGATTTTTGTTTTTTAAATGCTTAAATTCTTCAACATATAGTTAAAACCGTTAAAAGTCTCTGGTTGGCTGTGAAGTCCTGGAGTAGTCATTTTCATTTCATGACACATAGCCAGTAACCAGAAACCAGCCAAAGAATAATTGATTTTATTTATCAATGTAAGGCTTAGTCTAAAATTGTGCTAGGCGTTTGGTAGGTTCTCTACAGTATTAAAAAATGTGAACAGAAAATATTCATATTTTTGATCCATTATCATGTATAATATTCTAAAACTACACCAAAATAAATTATTTTTATCTATCAATTTATAGTTGGTACTGACGTACTGTCTTCCTACATGTAATTCAAAGAAATCATACTCATAAGAGGTACCTGCATGGGGTTAACTTTTAACTCTGTTAGCTCCTTCTACGTAATTTTTGTTATTGATTACTTCGTGGTGGCTTTCCTTATCTGCTGCTCCAAATGACTACCATGACCAGAGAACCTGCTCAAAGGATGTTTTTATTAGTACCAACACCGTTTTCTCAATTCGACGAAATATGTAATCTTAGCTACGTGTGACTGAATACCGAATTACTCAGACATTAGTCTACAATCAGTTTTTTATATGAATAGTACATTTATAAAAGATTTCTTTTATATTTTAGAACCATGCCTTTAAGACGTGAAAGAGGTTTAAGTAAGCATTATTTGTACCTATTGTTTAAAGCAAAATACCTACCTACTTATTTAACATAAGGACGCCATGCACAAGTCACATTGTGTTAAGAAAATGCGAAGCTACTCAAAGTAACCTGCACGTGCAACATAATGTTCAGTGTTTGTACATTCGTCCAGTGATCGTGGGTGGCCCTGTTCTACTTTTTTACATATGTATATTTTACTCAAGCGTCAACTTTCATTCGGAACTTACCTCCAACCGAGATTCAATCTTAAATAAGGGATGTAAAGAACTAAATGAACTGATAAGGCTAAAAAGTAACTTATCGGAAATATTGCTAAGCCATACAGCTAATTCAGTTCTGTACAACATACAATGGGCCTATTTCACGAGCCAATTAACTTTGTAGCATTTTTATTGGTTTTATTACACATGTATCAAATGTCTTTTAGATAGAATTGCATACAGGATTGGAAGTGTCGTGATACGCGTATAAGTAGGTTGGCATTACGTACGTCTGTACTCCACCCGAATACTGTAAGGCCTCTCAACTTTAAGTTG